TACTAGCATCAATACTGAAGCTATCTGCAGAATGCCTGGACCAGCACTTCAGCAGCCCACCCAGTGGGCCTTCAGGAAGGACCGTACAACTGAGACCTGACTTCATTCTATTGGTCTACAGTGAAGCAGTTGTGTGAGTCAGAGTTTCATCAGCATGGTAGCTTCAGGGGGGTACGCTCAGTCTCTGCTTAAGCTTTGTAACCTAACGCCAAGTCCTCGAGTGGCAGAAGGAAGTGTGGGACTTCCCAGCGCTGCCAGTAAAAGGATTCTACAAAGGATATATGCCAGAGCGTATGTACAGAAGTGAAACAAATAGAGGTGAAACAAACTGTCTCAGAGTCTGAGACAGACTCTTAGAAGCTGTGAAAAATTGCAGTTGAATTACTCACCCTAGACAAGACAAGGGATCAGAAGTCTGTTGTCCCACGAAAGACCAAAGATGTTGGCTGGAAGCAGGGGGAGGTGCCTTTAGGAAAGAGATTTCTAATTTTGGGGCTAATAAAACATTCCTGGGAAAAAGAAAAAAAAGATATTCTGGAATGTTTCTTGGGCTTTTTTTGGTATGGAGCTACAGCAGGGTGAAGTCACTTGTTATTTTGGCTTAGTTATAAGGCAATTGCTGGGAAGCACATGTCCACCAAGAGGGCAAGTATCAGAACAGTTTCTGCACCGCCCCGTATCATTCACTGGCCCATTCCAGAGTTATTTTCAGGGAAGACAATGTTCACCAGGCTAGGAGGCGCCAACATTTTTTATGGCAATGCAGGAAGACAACAAAAAGCAGGGGGATGGCTCCCTCTCTCAAAAGGGGAAAACCCGGAAGCTGAAACTGGACAAGAGACTGAAATGCTCCCTAGTATGCTGCTTCCCTGGCTGTTGTTGGCTTTCCAGAAGGGGGAAGAACTTTAAGCACCTTTAGCCCTGCTTTGCCAGTCTATTTGACATCGCCCATCCCTTAGCAGTCAGGCCACCAGCAAAAACTTGCCAAGATTAGAGTCTGGAAATAAAGAATGAAGGAAGTCCCTAAAAACTATGCAGTGCATTGAATGGGTCTGACTGAGCTTACAATTCTTGGAGTAACTCCTGTTGTGCTGTATGTGCTGTGAATCTCTTAGGACAATGGTATTAAGGAATATTTACTTGCATCTCACTCCTAACCAGGCTGAGGGAGCTGGGCTTGTTCAGCCTGGAGAAAAGAAGGCTGCGGGGTGACCTCATTGCAGCCTTTCAGTACCTAAAGGGAGCCTACAAACAGGAGGGGAATCAACTCTTTGAAAGAGTAGATAACTGGAGGACAAGGGGAAATGGTTTTAAGTTGAAGAAGGGAAGATTTAGGTTGGACGTTAGGGGGAAGTTCTTTACAGAGAGAGTGGTGAGGTGCTGGAACAGGCTGCCCAGAGAGGCTGTGGATGCCCCGTCCCTGGAGCTGTTCAAGGCCAGATTGGATGGGGCCCTGGGCAGCCTGGTCTAGTATTAGATACAGAGGTTTGGCAGTCCTGCATGTGGCAGGGGGGTTGGATATTCATGATCCTTGAGGTTCCTTCCAACCCAAACCATTCTATGAGTCTAAGATTGTATGATTTAGTTAAACTAATCAAAGGTCATGGTGGAACAGAATACTTTAATACTCTCCAGGACCCTAAGTGGAAAAAAAAAGCATCCATGTGGTGCACAGGACAGTCTCACTGTTTGGCAGAACTTAATTTCAGATATGCACATCTGGGCACAGGTGAGGAGCATTAACCTGTGGTTCTAGGCACATAAGAACTGAATGGCACTGAAAGCAGCAGGTAGAGCGCCAGAGATTCTTAGAAAATGGGCAGTACTTTACCGTGCTTACTTTGTTTGTTTAAAATAGAGGCTACCTGTGAGAAATTCACAGATTTAATCAATACAATAATATTAACCCACAAGAAAAAAAAAAAAAATCCCCGCAGGTATTTGGGAATTGTGATTAGATCAGCAAAATGGAAAACATTTTTCTTAATACAATGCATTTAAGTGAAGCGATGCAGTCTGCTCGGTCCTAATACTCAGCTAAACAGCACCCCTGTGTGGCCCAGGAGATCACAGCAGTTCCAACTGGCCTCAATTTCCTCCCCGATTCTTCCTGAAAACTTGGGGGAAAAAAAATAATAATAATTAGCATTACTTTCCCCCACCTCACGGGTGGAAAGGACCGGAGCCTGCCCAGGGGTGGGCTCTGCACAGGCTGCCATGCAGATTCACCCAGGGGCTGTCCAATGCTGTCCCACGGAGGTTTACTCCATATTCCTCTTTTTATTTAAGCACTTTCAGTGCTTCCACCCCCTAAAAGTAAAATCTTCCAGTTCAGTTTTAGCCCCAGCTCCCCGCTTAGCAATTCAGCTGTGTGCGTTGGTGCATACAAAGCCCCACAGGACTGCTCTGCCCACAGATTGGACATCCACCTGTGAGAACACTGCATCCTTAGGCACACTTGGATTGTGGAGTGGTAAGCAAGAGAAGTCTTCCTGTATCCTAATACAAACAGCAAAAAGCAGGTTCCCAGCTAGGTATCTAGCTATCTTCACTCCAGGGAAAGTCCATCCCCTGTGGGACCAGGCCTGCCCTCCTGCTTCAGGGAGAATCCCTCATCCCTCCAGGGAGATGAGAGATCTCTTTCCCATCTCTTCACCTGATGAAAACCCTGCCGAGCCTCCACATTACACAGCAGCTCTCCACAGCTTTACTGGCACACGCCATGCTAGGTAACAGAAACAGACAGAATCACAGCATTTCGGGGGTTGGAAGGGACCGACCTCTGGGGATCACTGTGTACAGCTAAAGTAGGTACCCTACAGCAGGTCACACGGGTAGGTGTCCAGAGGAGATCCCACAACCTCTCTGAGCAGCCTGTTCCAGTGCTCCATCAACCTCACAGTAAATACATTTTTCATGTGGAACTTCTTGTGTTCCAGTTTGTGTCTGTTGGTCCTTGTCACATGGCTGGGCACCACTGGAAACAGCCTGACCGAAAAGAGCCTGGCCCCATCCACTTGACACCCACCCAGTAGATATTTATAAGCATTGATAAGAGCCCCTCCTCAGTCTCCTCTTTCCCAGGCTGAACAGTCCCATGTCTCTTGGCTTTTCCTCATACAGGAGATACTCCAGGTCTCTAATCATCTTTGTCGCTCTAAAACAACAGACGTGTTTTCATTAAGCTGATTCTGCCTTCTGATGACAGCTGAGGGAGTAAGAGACATGTATGAGAAAAAGAGCAGCTCAGCTTTCAGCATTCCAGTCAACCAGCTCATGCAGCAGATCTGCAACAAGGATCCAGAATGGAAGAGCAATGTACCAAAGAGCAGAAGGTGCAGGCAGCAAAGGGGACCTTGTCCACATGCTGTGTCAAACAGCCCAGGTGAGACTTGAGCAGCACCTGCAGGGTTTGGAGTACCAAGTTCTGCCTCCTTCCCTGCCTTGGCAGTGGGAAGAAGCAGCCCAGGCCATGCTGCCCCAACAGCAACTCCTTACTCATCAGCAGTCCTCAATACAGAAATCACAGAATCATTAAGGTTGGAAAAGACCTCTCAGATCACTCAGTCCAACTGTCAGCCCACCCCCACCATGCCCACTGACCCCATCCCTCAGTGCCACATCCACATGGTTATTCAACACCCCCAGGGACAGTGACTGCACCACCTCCCTGGCAAATCCTCAGGAGGCATCGGCTCCTGGGGCACAAGATACAGTCACCCAGCTCCAAGAGAAAGGGTCTGAATGGCCACTGAGCTGGCAAACCTGCCTAGAGAACAGGGGCTGTGACAGAGAATGAGCCAGGTGAAGTATTGTTGGCATTGTCCTATTTTGCTTCAGTAATTCAGCATATCTGCTACCAGGAAAGAAATGACTGACACAGAAATCAAGTTTTATTGCAGCTTCTGCCATGATCCGCATCTCACAGCATGCTGTAGTCACTTACCTCCAGAGACCATTCCCATGCAGATGTCACAGTCTTATCTTCATCCAGAAAACTCACTCTTAGGAAAAGATGTGGAAGTTGCATGAAACTCTCCTGAATACCTGAATTTCTTCCTGAAGAAATTCAGACAAATCCAAGATGCTCATGTAGTATCCACAGCCCAAAGGACATGAAGGTGTGAATAGCATCACAGTGCTTAAAGAAGTGCGTTCCTGCTTCTCATACTTTGCTTTGCTTCCTCTTTGTGTTGCATCAATGAAAACATCCCCTCCATTGTCAGAACACATCTGAAGCTGTAAGAAGTTACATTTACAACATCAGGCTGCCCACATTCTGAGTTGCCTTGGGTTATCTTCATGGACACGCGTGCATCAGCTGCAAGAGTGATGATTCCTGTAACAGCTCAGAATGCCTTCAGATGCTCAACTTCAACCATCTGTGTTTAACAGCAAGAAGTACACAGCAATGTTCTTACCTTAGGAAGAGGTGCTTTTTTGCAAGGTCAGCAGTAGGGCATTAAGAAGTGGTCAGCAAAGGCAAATCTTCAAACATTACATCTGTATGGTTACTGAATGAGATTTAAAACTCAGAGCACCCGAATCTTTTGTGCAGCAGCTGCTGGGCAGAGAATTACATCTGTGCACAATATGCAGACTTGTGGAGGTGTTCATTTGTGCACTGCATACACCTGCAGTGAGAGGCCAGACAAATAGCCAACACTTATATTAAAGGAATCTTTCTTCCACAAAAAAAGAAACCAACTGTTTTCACATCTATAAGCAGCCCTTCCACTGGGCATCACTCTGCATTTTATGCTTGGCAGCAGCTGAAGATGTCACTTTGTAATCAGAGTGGTTGAATTAGTGGTGGCACGGTGTAGCTGCACATAGGCTGGGTGGTTTGTGGATCAAGGCTGACTTATCCCTGCTGAACAGCAACAACCAGCACTGCTGTAGGCACGAGTCGACTGAAGAGCAGACAAAGCATGCCGAGCCAAGCAACCTGAAAATGCTGATTAGTTCACTCAAGAAAGCAATAGAAGTAAGCCACCTCGTTACTCTTGTCAGTTCTTTATTGGTTTTCATCCTAAAGACTAGCACATGTACAGCATACATGGATTGGATGAACTAGGATATATAAAACAGTAGCCATATGTTTATGATATATTAATACTGCCCAAAAACAAATAAATAAAAATCTTTCAATGCACAAAGCTTGGCAAATACAATTGTGTTGGGACAAAACAGTGTCGTATTATACAATAATTTTACATGTATAAATGAAACAAAAGGCAACTGTGCTGTAAATACTTTCACAGAACATACACAGAACATACTCGGCAAGTTGGATTTTTTTTTTTTGTCTTTTTACCTTTGTATGTTTTATAATTTAAAAAACGTACTCAAAAAAGAACATTAGACAGAACTTCATTTTACAGTAATCCTTAAGTTTTGTCTCTCCTGTGCAACAGAAAAGCTTACTTCACCCTTGTGAAGTGTCCTATGTGGATTTCAAGTTTCACAGTTTGTCTTTTTTGATTAACTGCTCAAGACCTCCCTGCTCGTTACGCCCTTTAGAAGAAGCCACTGGCGTGCATTGTGCCCACAGCTGTACCTGTCACACCTCAGCTGGACAACGATGCTCTACATGGAAGTATACTTAAAATATTCCACCACTTTAAAGAGGTGAGCAAAAACCATGCATATAGAAAATTGGGGAACTTCCGATTGTATCTGGTGTACAAAATAAATAAAGGATCACTAAGCTCTAAGAGTAGAACTAATGACTGTGGGCCACCATCTAAGAGAGCGGCTCTGCTAATTGCAACCATACACCTCTTGTTCTTTTCTTCTGAAGCTGAATGCTGGAAGAAGACTTTTAGTGTAACAATATAGGACTTAAAATATTAACTGTGTTTGAAATATACAAAATAAAACTATCAACTCATAAAAACTAAGGGCTATGAAGGCTATCGTTCATACAAAAATAAATGCAGCTTTTAATAACGGGCCAGGGGCTGAAGGCTGAGCAGAACTAAGAGAATAATGTCTAAAGAAATCTCACTGCAATGATTTTCACCAAACATTTGTTTACATATTAAAAAAAAGAACAAAAAGCAACAATTATTTAATTGAAGGACAAGGTTTGTAATTTCCCAAGGGTCCATCCTACTACAGAAGGAGTTTAGAACTGGGAAAAGAACTACAAATGCATTGAATTTGCACAGCATTTTTGTTTCCCCTCCTAGAATGACTGCAGTAACAGTAACAACGTGGTTCAGCAGAACTCTCTTGGCTGGCTTCGTGACATGCTGCTCAGTGTCAGACTGCTAAAAGCAAAATGCAAAAACTGCTGGACTTAAAACCCCCAAACCTATATGGGAGCAGAATGAACATGACTGATAGAGCAGTGACAGCACAGACAAACATCAGTGGGAGGGAGAAAGAAGCCAGAAAACAGCCGTATACTTACCTGGCTGTTGCTACTCTCACAAGAACAAACGACCAGCTTCTCTATTCTACAGCTCATAGCCCTCAGATACAAGAGGGGCAGGGCACAGTGGGCTGAATGAAGCTAGCTAGGAATGATTTAATCCTGTTAAGATTTGCAACTTAACATTTAGCTGCTTTTTAAGAACGTATCTCTATCTTCAAGGCATCCTTTCGAAGATGATTTCCAAGGAGATGTACTGAACCTTTATGAAATGCTATCAAAGTGATAGACTATCAAGCCTTGGCCTTAAGCTAGAACACCTGAGGTTCTCATGCATTAGCACATGAGTTACGTTCCATCAAAATGAGCAAAACTTAACAAACGTAACATTTTTGTCAGGCAGTAAGGGGGATGTTGGGTACTTTAAGCATTTTTGAGTTGACAGATACTGATAAAAACCAAACACCAATTTAAAAAATGCAATGCCCCGACATCCTAATGCTTACAATCCAGAAGCAATATAAAAAGCCATGGATAAAGGAGCACACTGATTGATATACACTACCATGGAACACAATGAACATGTCGTAGTGGGGAAGGGCTGGGAGAACTGTTGCTGCCATTAATCAATTAACATCATTATGTTTTGAAACGCTTTTTAAAACTGGTTAACATTTGCCCAAGTCCTTTTGTGCTAAAAATGACCAGAAATTGTCTTTATCTGGACAGAACTACAAACTAGACCTCATAGGCCCAGCCTTTTTATTTATTATTCTTTTCGTATTTCAAGATGGCATCCTATATACAGCGAAACAATTTATACTCCTGGCTGCTATTGTGCTGATTATTTCTAGAAGTTAAACATCTGTTTCTTGATTGCAATAATGCATCCTACTGTTATTGGACTGCCTGCTGTCCAGTCTCTTTTTATTTACAACGGTTGAGTTTTACTCTCAGTTTGAAAAAGTGACGAAAAGCTCGGTCTGAATTCAGCTCAGTACAGAAAGAAGTACATGAAGCAGCTGCCTCAATGCCATTCACAAAGTCCTTGCCCATCCAGGAGGTACCCAGCTATTTGCATGTAGGTAATTATTAAATAGCACAATATCTGCTCATCTTACATACACTGAAGGCTATTTAAATGGGCAGAGTCATCACACTATTCTCAAGCTAAGGTGTCAGAATAACTGTTACTATAGACTCCAACTGGTAAGTAACATGCTCCATATAGCCTAGTGAAACGTACAAAAAGGTTACTGATCTGGTCTGGATGACAGAATCATGTATTAGTCTAGAGTGCAGCCACACGTCTTAATGGAACAGCAATTAAAGGACATAAGATGCTTATGTTTCAACTTTTCCATAAGTTCCTTCTGGAGGCCTGTAATACTTTGGGAAAGCCTTCAGTTGCAGGGAATTAAATGCATACTTGCGACATCCAACATTCTTCATTGTATTTTCTCGCCGACACCCCTCACTGGGGAAAAAAAACAAGCACAAAAAAATGACAGCAGTAAAACGGAAAAAAAAAAAAAAAAAAGAAAGAAAGAAAAAAAGACTTAAACTAAGATGAAATGAACTGGTTATTTCATAGCATTAACAAAAAGTTGGTTATATTTAATGAGCGCTTAATTAATTTGCCACTGCAAATATTAAAGATGATGACTCCTCATACAATGCTAGTAAGAAGCACACAGAATGGACACATGCTATGTCTGATTGCTAGTTTTGCATTTCTAAAAAGCAGCAGTGCATCCAGTGGGAAAGTTCTTTTAGGAAGGTTTCATGTATTTCAGGGTACGCTGTTACGGCGTTCGCGTGCCATTTCATTGCACAAAGGATCCCAAAAGATTGCTTCAATGCAGTTCTGCTAATTCGTTAGTATGTTATATTGAAAAAGAATGACTGTCCATCTCTCAACAGGAGCTTTATTTTATTGTTCCCTGTCCTTCAGCGCTACCAGAACTTACTTAAGGATCAGAGCTGATATAAAAATAATGGCTTTCCACTTATCTTTGCATGCATAAATTGACTTGAAAACTAACATACTCTTAAAAAAAAAAAAAAAACACCATGAAATAGCAGCTTTGTATTGGCTGCATTGACAGTCATCACCCCAATGGAACAAAGCTGTGCAGAATTTGGGAGTCCAACTTTACCCAATGCTTTGGTGCAACTGCCCCACATTACAAAGTGGTTCTGTGCTACAATAAAAAACAATTCCACTTATAAGGCTCTTCTACGACTGTAAATCTATTTCAAATCCAAAACAGACATACAAAGAGGAAGCACTGTATTTTAAATATATATCAGAAATCAATTTAGGCTCACATGAGAATGTGTTCTGATAGAGAATGGAAACCTGAACATTGATCTGATAGTAAAAGTTCATGGCAAAGTGTACAGTACACAATCTTACGGTGGGAACGTCCCATCATTCCTGTCCTGGAGATGGCTGCAGCAGGTACCAGCTAAACAGAGGCAATCTGACTCACAAGGAGGGTTTGGATTCTGCTTCAATTTGAAAGCTCTCTGCTGTTGCTGATCTCACTGTTCCTCTAATTTTGGTTAATCACTTTGACTGTAGCTCTGCTACTTATGTACCACCTAGTTTAACTTCACAGAACACTGAACGTTTTCACTGCAGTTAACAGCTTATGTTTGAAATCTCTCAGTATATTCTGTGACTGTCCTACAGAATGGATTGCACCTTGTGACACTGCTTCTAAGACACTGTTTAGTGCATTACACATCCCCCAAAGATTGCTGCAAATAGATCCGTCAAGGATTGGCAGAAAATATCTTTCAGAGCAGTAATAAAAACATCTCATTAAAATAAAAAAATATGGGATGCCAACTGAGAATTTCCAATTGGAAGAGAATAATTCTGCTCATTACTCATTCCGCTGCCTGCATTACCCCATGTCCTGTGCTCTGTGGCACAGGTGGCCCATAGGCACGATGACAAAGATGTATGTCACCTATTTTGTGTGCTGCGGAGCTTCTGGAGGCACGTGAGCTGTAAGCACTGCGTCATTTTAAATCTGAATCCCAGAATGAAAGCACAGGCTGAACTAAGGAAGAAAAAAATGAAAACCTGTCCCAACCAAAGGGTAAGAAAAAACCCATCTTGTTGTTTTCAAAAGGTCTCAGCTTTCACTGTGAATTAATTTAAAGGTGGTCTTATTGCACACCTAATCTTGCCAACAACAGTAAACAAGCAAAGCTTCATACTGCATTTATAACAGACTTAATAACATCAGGGAGCTCAGTGGAAGCACCCCTACTAAAGTTACTTTCACATCTTGGTAGGCTGAATCTAGGACACTCACCAAGTAGGGTACAGTGAACCTAATCACCCTTCACTGCATAAAAAGTGAATTTTGATACTCAAGGCAAACAAACCAATCTTAATCAGAAAGAAGAAATGATTTGTATTGAGATGCAGTGGTACTGGACAGCAGCACAGGATGTGGAAATGTCCAATACCATCACACCATGATTTTAAAGCCCATGAGCATTAAGGCCTTGCTGAAACAACTCAAAATAAATAGGATAAATGCTTATATATATACATACACTGTCTGCGGGCTTTCTTTGCTTTTAAAAACAAAATTGGAAGAATAGTGAGAAAAATACCAGGTGATAGTGTACTGTACAGTCTTCTTTCACGAAGACAGGACTATAACCATGTACTTCATTTAGTTAGAATATTTACCAAATTTAGGATTTTAACCTTTTTTTCCCTTTTTTTTTTTCTTTAAACTATGATCTCTTTTTTAAGCATACCTCCTTCAGGAGCCTTCAAAATACATTAAAATTGATAATATAAGCTATAGCTATCTATGTCTTCTGAGCAAGTTAATAATAGTAGAAATTAGAAATCACAGTACTAGCGGAGTTCTCCTTGGTCATCAAGCTCAACATTCTGTCATCTTAGGCACCAAGCAAACTAAATCCCTTTACGAATTTAGCAAACTATGTTAAATGAGGTTAGTTTTTCAATGAACTATTGCTATTGACAAGCACTTCCAGACTACTACATCAACAGAGTCCACCATTTTGAACAGGCCTATCCCAGTCAGATGGTGTCCAAGTTTCTTCCACAATCGTTCTGCATGACTAAACTAGGCAAATTTCTTCAGTATCATCATATAAATAAATGTTCTTGCCATCACTCATTTACCTCTAAATCGTTGTCTATAATCATCATAATTTATTAAAGCTGTCCAACACTCAAAAATGGAAATAACTAATATTTAGTCCAGTCTCATTAACACAAGGCCTCGTGGAAAACCTCAAGCACACCAAATAACAGAGCTAATTAATACCTTCCTTTCCTTGCTTGAAATATTGTAGACTAACTTCAATAGGATGATAATGACCCTGTTTCAGAATAAGTTATAGAACAAAGCACCTGAAACAGACAGTGGATCATTAGCAGGCTCTGCCAATTACATACTCTCGCTATCCAGACGTCATTATCTTTTTGTCTTTAATATATTACAAAATGCAGATCTATAAATATAATGAAATAATCCTGCATGCAGCACACTGCAAGTTGTTGTTTAGTGGGTACACTAGTCTACTGGAACATATGTAACCACGAGAAAGGAACGAGACTATGGTTCTACAAATTGTGTAATAATAATTTGGATATTATGTTTTGAAATAAAGGTACAAATTTGTTAACTTCTTTAAATAAATTTCTTATAATTTCTTATAAACCCCACCCATATTTTTTATTTTTCTCTTCATAGCTTGTAAAAATGAAAGGCAAGATTAGCATACACCCTGAATATACAAAAGATACAAATTCTTTTCAGAGTTCCTTTCTCTGGAATACATGAAACAAGTAACACAAAACTATATTTGGTAAGAGATCTTCAGGCCGGCTAAAGTAACGAGGTAACAGGCCAAATGTCAGACTATGTTACAAGCACTGAAAGCAGAACAGTAATTTAAAGTTTCAATACAATTCTTCTTGATAAAATAATTTGATGTATATTTACAGTTTAGTACAATAGAAACGTAAAATTGTAAGGCATAATAATAATTCTTGGCAGACAATGTTATGACACATTCTTTTGTCCAGCAGGTACCAAGTGGCAATACACGTTCAAGCAATTTTTTTTGTTTTCATTTTTGTTTTCATTTTTGTTTTAACCTTATCTTCACTTGCAACGTAATCTGGCCACCAGGTACGCTATGCTCAGAAACAGCCACACAATCAGTAAATTGGGGCTGAGAGCTAGTAAAGGAATAGAGTAGAGGAGGCTGGGATCTAGTCTGAAATCTCGGATGGGCACCAAGCCACTCAAGTTCTTCTGGGTGACTACCTCCCGTGTTCCAATGCTGTGAAAAGGAAGAAGGTTGGGAGGAGGAAAAATAAAACAGAAAAGAAGACGGACATGCAAATGAATGCGTAAAAAGAAATGGCAACGCAAAGTGGTCAAGAAGATGAAAAAAAGATGGAAGAAGCCACAACAAAACCAGAATATGAAGTAAAGAAAAACGGGGAAAACATCTCAAAAATATATATCAGCACAATTACAGATAAAAGGAGAGGGAAAGAGAATAAAAGAGAAAAATAAGAAAGAAGTACTGTAGTCTACTGAAAATAAACACATGTAGGTTGAACATTAATGGTTTTCCATGTTCATTCTTTCAGATTACAAAGCAATATCCCATGCAGCTCTGCCATGCTTCTGCATGCTGCAAAAAAGTGGAGCTCTGAAAAGCCAAGCTGAACATGAATAACCATTGTAGTATTTGACCCTTTCAAACATCTTTCCGTGAGCTGCAGTGAAACACTTTAACCTCTTAACTAAATGCTCAATATATAAACAAACTAACAAAAAAAACCCCACCCAAACTACCTACCTACTTTTCATCTTCAAAACAAATTCACGTGTGTATTGATACACTTTCAAAATGCGTGTTTCTGAAGCACCTCAATGTACACCTGTGAAGGGAAGATGTTGCACAACCCATCTCACTATGCCCCCGATGCTTACATTGCTTTGAGGACAGGCCTATTCACTTCTTCATGTCCAATTCTGTTTTTAGATTACAGAATCAGTCCTCAGAGCTCCCACTGTGCCAGGGAAAACTGTGTGCACCTGATGCATTGACAGTATGTTTAAAAGAATAAAAAGACAGTAGTGCTATGGATATTTCCCAAGGTTCAGGAACAGTTCTGCATTTTGGCCCAACTGAAAATGTTTTACCAAAAGCAAAACACAAGTTCTGCATCATTTCTTGAAATGTTTGTATTCAAGATTGAACCAAGCCTTCCTTTTTTCTACAATTACATACATCAAATAAGGTTCAGATTAAATGAAAAAAAGGTATTTTTTCAATGCTCTAGAAGTAATCTGTAACTCTTCCATCTCCTACATCAGGCATCCAGGTCAGGTCATCCTGTCCAGGATAAGACGGTTTTGGGTGGAGTTGGGCTTGTATATATTGAGCCAAGAGTTGGACTCAATGATCCCCGTGAATTCCTTCCAACTTGCAATATTCTGTATTTGTTCCATAACCCTATCCCTCTCTTTAAGCTTTTAAAATTCTTTGCCATTGTTCTCAAATAGAATTGGAGAATATATTTAAACAAACAACCTACCCTAAAAAGCAATGAGACGTGAGGAAGAAACAGTGATAAACTTGATGAAAACTCATCTTGTCTTAGTATTCCATTAGGATTAGTCAGCATTTATTCTGCATAATCCCTCTTATTCAGCAATTTAACAGAAGAAGAGCAAGCCACATCTTTCATCTGTTAGAGCAAGTTTCTAGCATGCTGGAACATGCTAGCCAAAGGTTTTGATTAAATTGGCCCACTTTCAATACTTGATGTAGGTCAACACAAAGCAGTGTGTTTCTTATGTCAATGTTCTATCTGATATGGTAATAAATTAAACTGATGGTATAGAGGCCCAACACAATGTTCTTATTAATCTCTGTCTGTACTGTGACCCTGACTGCATTAAAAATATTAACTCGTTAACTAACATAAAGAAAATAGCAAGATCCCTAGTATTATACTTGTTCAGTTTTTATTCTTACTAAATAAATAGGTTTGTTAAAACTGCACAACCAAGCTTTTTTCTTTCAGATGTCTACACCAACAAGTTGCACAGTTTAAACAATAAGGTATTTGAGAGTCACTCAGCTCTGTTTTTAAGTCAATAAGTTCTCCCTCATAAGCTAGTCTGAGCTGTCTTTGCTTCAAATGTCAAGTTTTAACCAAACTCTGGATGCACAGTTTTCATATACGGTATTAATTTTGTAACAGTCCAACAAAAAGTGAACATAAAAAGGCCCAGTGGCATCCAGTTAGACACTGAAATGAAAAACAAGTTTTTAGCATAAGAGGCTGCGAGTGCTATTATATGAGACATTTTCCTTCTCAGTACCCAAAGAGTAAGAAAGGGTCAAACAGCAAAAACATACAGAAAGGATAAGAGAATTGAACACTCTAGAGAATTTGGTGAGAAGACACACAGTACAGTACATTCAGTAAGAGTGAATGTTGAAAAACAGGACTGAACAGCATTGTTGAACTACATTGATAAAGACTAAAGCTAGATTTCTTATCCTTTCTTTTGGTATGTGAGTTACGGAGTTTTCCAGCAGTGCTTGAAACAAGGCATTGAACAACAGTAAACAGATTTTTTTAGTACAGTATTGAATTCTGCAAACATCTCTGCTGCTTCAGAATACAGAACATCATTATACTGGTAAGACAACAGCACACTGACACGCTGTGATGAAATTTGATTGCTGCACTGTGAAACACTCATACTGACGTTTTGCCCGGTGAGCAAAGTGTTTCACTGCTGAAGAATACATGTGTCAAACCAGTGCAAACTGCAGGAGTCTGTGTTTCAAAGAACAACATGCATCTCTGAGAAATCAGAGACAGCTGAGGCCTGATCTGGAACTAAGAAACCTAGTGCTATGACAGCAGCAACCTCATCATCAGACAACTTTCAAAGAAGCACCAGTTTCCTGTTCTGTAAAGCTCAGCATTAATTGCAAACTTGTTTTTATATGCTTCTCTGAAAACTTCCAGTTCGCTACTGAAAACTAAAACCCACCTGATGCAAACCCAGTAAGGACCAGCTTCACTAGTATAACTCCCTAAGACATGCAAGCAAGGGATGAATCCTAGCAACCAGTTTTGCAGCTTTTTTGGCTTTGTTCTACTGCTTGTTTCTTTTGATAGAAACAGAGACCACCTCTCCTCTGCAGTTTGCATGGTTCCTTACTTAGGACTAAGTGACACAGTAAAACTCTTACCTCCTCATACACTCGAGAGCCTGAGTGAAGACCTGTGGAGCCATTCCATGTTCATGCTGTAGGATCAAACACTGCTCTAGGGTGACCGACATAGCAGTCCTATCCTTGGCACTTTTACAGCTTGTAAACCGAACACCATTTAGTCTGCGGCATATCTAGAAACGGGATACACAATTGATCATTCTTTCCTCATGCATTACCTTCTCCCAGAGAACACAACAGACCTGTATTTCTCCTCCTTGAAAAGATATAAATCCTGTGTAGGACTCTGATGTAAAAAATTGTCATCTGTGGTACAGCAGTGTTTTGTTACTTGAGTTGTAGAGAAAATACTGATGTGCAAAAAAATCCTTTTCTTTCCTGTGGCTGAATTCCGGAGGAGGTTCAGCCAAGACAATATTTCCAAGCTAATGCATGCAAGTGAAGAAATCTGAATATATCAGTAATAAAAAGTGGAAACTATGCATGTATATAGAAAATCAACTGAACTATACAGAAATACTCAGATTACTAAATACCTCAGCAGCTTGCCAAAGGATATCAACATTCTTATTTTTCCTTGCGTGTACATTTTGTCCCAGGAACCTTAACAGTTCAGGCAGGCACGTCTGACTACGAGATCGAGGTAGACCTACAATACAAACAAAACCAAGTCCACTTTTTTTAGTTGTATTCAACACTTTCACAAAGATCAGTCGCATGAAAAGTGCTCCTATATGCCCATTGGAAAAGACAGTCATGTTTTCTTCAAACTATCAAAGCTCACAACTAACTCAATTCTTAATTACACAATACCACCAAAAAACAAATCCGAGTTTAATAAAACTCTACTGGAAATATATATTCATGTCATTTAAAATTTCAGGTGTTCAGAATGTGATACAGCAATACAGTAACAGAGGGAACGAAGGGAATAAGATTGGTATAGTATCTTGTTTGCAAAGAGGTGCTTTGACATGCTGCTCAGAATCATATAGAAACATGTAACTGCTGGCACTGCACTCCACAGATGTGACAGGAAATCATTCATGTCTCTACAGAAATTGTAAAGATACCATTTTACTTCCGCTCACATCTTCATTTTTAAAGCTACAAGAAACACACTCTGATGTCTATAATCAAAAAAAAAGGCCAAAGTCACCTCCCTGAGTATGCCTAGAGACAAGGAGATCAAAGGGAACAACTAAACAGTAACTGACTTCTGGAAATTCTGCAGTGCTCAGAATTTATGGCACACGTTTTCAGAAAAAAAAAAAAAAAATGACACTGGATCAGGAAAATCTTTCCTCATGTATTGTTCTGGAAGGGAACACCTACAAGATACCAGCAGATACATCACTATGCTGCCTGTCCTTAAAAGGATCTGTTTGTATGTTTGTTTCCTGTTGCCTGTGTAACACAGGATACACAACTGCTGCTCATAATACCACTTGTTTTACAGCAAAAAAAAAAAAAAAAAAAAAAAGTTATTCTCTCCTGACAAGGGGTCATGGAGAAGTATTTTGCACTTTGTACATCCTGACCATCACCAGCCCTTTCTTGGACAAGCACACTCCCAGGTTTGTCCATGTTTCAGTTTTTCACAGAGCATTTCTAACACATCTGCTGGGACACCTGCATTATTTTTTTTCACACTTCTACTCAAAACTTTTTCTTAATATTTATAAACACAAAATGTTTGTTCAAGCTGGACTGCAAGACCAGGTACAGTATGTCCACATTTACTCAGGAAAAAACAGTGAAGCAGAACAAAATTTTGGCAGAGGGTAGATTTTCCTTCTCACAGGTATTCATCTCATGTGGCAGGGAGCTCAGTGTAACAACAGGCAGCTGGAGTGAAGGAGAAAAGGGGGTGGACACAAAACCATACTGCTCTGTTTTGCTGTTAAGGTGCATGTTAATGCCAGCTGTCCAACACTGAACATTAGTTTTATTCAGAACTTCAAGTTACTTGAGGCAGATTTCTGTTACAAGAAGTGACTGTTGGTGAAGCTTGAGGTTGTGAAGCCAGTGCTCTTTAAAAATAAGGGAAAGTAAATATAATGACAAAACAGAGTTCAAAAACAAGAAAAAGGAACAAATGACAGGACAGAAAACATACTGCAGGATTAAATAAAAAGTTAACAGAAAAAGGCAAAAGCTAACAGATGACTACATCAACATACGAGGTTTGGGAATGAGGGAAGAGACTGAAATAAAGGTATGAGATAAGGAAGACTATGGACAGAAAGGAACAGGAAAAATAGTAGAACAAAAATCAACATAAAGGGATGAATTTCTGAAGTTTATAAGACAGTCTGATATGAGAATACCATATAATAAAATACAGCTTAAAATTTTGCAGCTAAAACTTCAGAGAAAACTATTATGCTCAATTGTGAGTGACTGGAAAGGGGGGGCTCTCAGGTGCATCAACTATAATGCAGGGTGCCTGAAAGTGTTATAAGCTACTTTAGCAAATAGCATTCTAACCATCCCATTGCATGTTGCTGCATTTCTGTATCTGCAATAAAACTGCAATTTGGGGAACAAGAAATTAGTTCATAAGACGTTTGGTATTAATAATAACAAACCAATTAATTGTCACAGTTTCTGGGGACATTTGAGCCACTGTCTCCTAAAAAAAAACCAGCATAACAAGCAAGAAATTTTCCTATATTACCAATAACATTCAATCATGTAGCTACAGTCTCTCTCCCACATGCTCAACTTCTCTGTTGTGACAATTACATGCACAGAGGATAGGCAGAGGACGTGATTAAGAGGTTCCCAAAAAATGGCAGTTGCTCTCTGTACAGGTCATTAAGAGAACACGACCAAAAACTGCACACAGAAGTGCTACTGCTACGACCTGTCACATGTATGCCTCCCTCCTCACAGCAATCTCACTGCATGGCTCTGTGTTTATAAAATAAATAATGCCACTTGGAAACAGATTCAAAAGAAAATTAAGAAAAGGAAAGTTATTCAGACTGAACTTTGAAACACTTGAATCTACTCTACCTGCAAATTAAAATAAAATTATTACATAGTAAAACTGAGTTGCATCATTTATTGGAGGTTACTGACACAGGCATAACAACATTTAAAGAACTAGTTTAAAACAAACAAGTAAATCAGCCTGAGAAGTTCAACTACATTTGCCATTAATTATCAAATACTTACAATCATCGGGCAAAACTTCCTTGAACTGTTCAAAATACGAATTTAACCGCACTAAGCTTTCCATGTTTATTACTTCTTGCAGTGAGGTGTCTCCGAACCTTTAAAAGAAGGCAAGTTAAGTAAACTTAAGGTAATTTTTCTCCTTTTCTTCAGGACAACTTCACTCAGCAATATGACAAGAAAACTGTTTAAAGATTCATCCCAAGGAAGTGCTAACACTCAAATGCAGAGTAAAGCATAGCAGGAAAGAATTGATGTGATTCATTCCAGAAAAAGAGAATATACAAATGTGATGGGAAATGTGGGAAGGAAGGCAGAAACAAAATGTTGTAGAAAATAATACTTGGGCTTTTGTATCCTGCCTTCGAAACTAGAAACCCATGAGGTAAATCATTTTGCCAAAACTCAAAAACTTTGAGTTCAAAAATAATAACTATGGCTTCAGAAGACAGGATCAAGAACTTTGATTTCAGATGTGAATGAGAAATATGGATCCAGGAGTGATAAAACGTGAAAGTAATAAGCACTCATCACTGATGTGATCCATGTCACTTAACTACATGCATATATTTATGTGTATGTACATACATATATACACGCATGCACATGAATATGAATGCACACCATATTGGCATCTACAACTATGGAGTCAACTTGGACTCCCTTTATAGGCAACAGAGGACAACAACAACTGCTGGAATGGCTTAGTCTGATGTTTTCTAGTTTTCTAGTCTACCATCATACAGCACACTGATGCCACAACGTGCCTGTGCCTGACTTCACTGAGCAATCCATAGAAACAGCAATTGTCAACATGCTCCTTAAAAATACAGCTAAAACGGAGGAAACTGGTGGCTCTTCCAGAACAGTTTCCCTAACAAGAACTATTACACAACCACATTTTTCAGCATTACGAGAGCAGTGTTGTGTTACATAAGTAATGCAACAATACATTAAAACAAAGGTTCATCTAGCCCAAGACCCTGGATTTTGACAGCTTTCCTCCAGAAGACGAAGCCTAGGGAAGAATGCTAACTAAACCACTAGGGCAAATACACAGTGATACTCAGAGTAATCTCATCCTCCAGTGACCTACCACTCACAGAGGTGAGAAGCAGCACCTCTGTGTTAAATACATCTCCTCTTTTGAAACATAAACCTGTACTAGAAATAAAGCCATGAGGTAAGGATCTTCACAGCTATGTGCTAAATGAAGAAGTACCTCCCTTTGTTTGTCAGCTTTGCTCCATGATCCCTGGTTTGTGTATTGGAGGAGAAAACGAATTACTGTTAGCAATGCAAAAGAGTAACTCCACAGAGACACCCCATCATCGGAACAGGAGATTGCAGAACTGCCATCAAGGCTGAGCTGCAGAAACAAATACCTACTTCTCTGCTAGGGTTTGCTGCTCATTGATCCCCACGTTGAAGAGCACGGGCTGAACCCTCAGTAACATGCCACTTTGAATCTCTCGCGGCAGCAAATCAAACAAGGCGCTTGGCAAAGGGATCCTCACGTTAAATCCGTCACTGTGAACAAAGAAAGAAATATTAGATGAAGATTCAAAAGCATCATTGTAAGAATGTGTTATTTCTGTGAAGAGGGCTAACATCCACAATGAGGTGGAAAAAAAAAATCAGTATCAGTCAAAACTGAGGACTTGAAAGAACTGCTACAGCTTGTTCCTAGTTACAAAAAGCTCTTCTACTTTAAATACAAACTAGCAACAACCTGCAACATTAATTTTATTTTCTCATGGACGTTTCAATCCAATCTGTCAATTTTTTGACAAAAGCTAATTTTGCTCTTCTCATTAACACTGCTGCTCTACCATAACTTAGGGACAAAAAAGTCAAATTTTGGCATGACCCCACCTTGAGTAAAGTAGATTTGATTTTAAAGTGATAATGTCTAAATGATAATGCATATGCAGAGGAAGATTTGTTTTTAGACACAGTAAGTAGTGCTGATATTTCAGAGCCAAAGGACAAAGGCAATGACAGGAGTGACCAGAGCATAAGCCAGAGAGCTAACAAGAGCACTGATATGGAACACCACGACTCAGGTTTACAAGCCAGCAGGTTACCTTGGGTCTACCGAGCTAAGGCAAAGAGCACTGTGTGAACTTTATATCATGGTAAATGTGAGGTAATACCCATAACATCAGTGCATACCACTTTACATCTGCTACAGGTTGACATATGGTTGCAAATGTTACTGGTAGCTAGGACAAAAGATCTGAGTGCTGTGCTTTAATCTAGCAGCAGCAGGACCTTAAATTCAAGTCCTTATAGTTCAGCTTTCCTATGATAATTCTTCTGCTCACAACACACTGCCAGCATATAAACTCAAGTATAGCAAAAGAGCTCTGAGAAGTACATAGAACAATCAAAATTGGCATGTCCCACGCTTACACTGGATAGAAGTACAAATAATGTGCTGTGACTGAAAGTAAAAAGCCTGTTTTCATTTCTAAATGTAAAGCTCCCAACCGTTTGCACCAAAATAAATAAGCATGATTTTTGTTCTCATTCTAAGATAAAATCTCTACAGCAACACTATCAGCCCCGAGTGTAGTAAAGACTGTTTTTCTCTTGATTTGTGTCCTATGGCTGACAGCAGGTTTTAACTAAAGATTTTCTTTGAGAGGGATTTTCTGTCAGCTCTCAGCCATTCCCAAAGGTCTCAGCAAATTCTGTCATGTACATGATTGCACTGCAGCCCTCGTTCAGCTAGCACAATTTTCATTCCTTGTGAATCTGAACTTAATTAAATTCCTCTATGGATCCTTACTTTCAAGAGTTGTAGCTGTATTTCAGATGTGGAAATCTTCAGTGGAACTTGGTACACCACACTGACCAAGAAAGCCTTATCTCCTCCAGAAATCAGATTTGAAACTAAAAGATTCTAAAGACTCTTAAACCAGAAACATTTAAACACTGACTTCTGTGAGCCCTCTGTCCTTCCACCCACTCTTTCCTACCTGTGAACTGGCTCCCTCTGGGTAAGAGCACAGAACACCTCGTCAGAAGCCAGTGGATGAATTGCTTTTAAACTCAAACCTGAAAACACCTCATTCTAGACAAGCGGCCAAAATGAAGAGCAGTCTAACTTTTTGCAAGCAACTATAAGTTAAATTCAGTTTGTCCCTGGTAGTTAAGAAATTGATCATAAATACACAGCGGCCACCAGCTGCCCTGCCTGATGCTAATGGTCAAGGGCACATGGTAAAGCACTGTCAAACTTATCAACATCAGTGAATGTCAGACAAGGAGATCAGCATCAAAAAAATTAGTCTGAAATTTTCAAACAGCACAAGTGCATAAGAGAAGATTGAATAATGCTGGCTTGTGATTATGGAAAGCTAGGTTGGGAAAATATTGACTCAAAAATATTGTCGCAGTTTGAGCTTTGCTATATATTCCTTTTCAGCTTAACTCTCTGTAAAATTAAACACCAGTAAAAAATGAGCAAGCTAGCTACCTAATAATTCTCTAAAGTTCTGAGAGGAAAGAGCAGCACAGTACAAAGCTCATAATTCACACTCGAATTTTAAGTGCAGCATCATCGCTTCTCCATTCTCCCACACCACTTCCTGCTCTCCTTCCTTTTACTCACCGATTCCCAGTGATGACTGGCAGCATGTCAGTAGATGTATTTGATGTTGCCTGAGTTACTTTAAAGGTTACATTCCTCAAGTCCATGATTCCCAAACTCATGTCCTCCAGCATTGCCAGCTCCTCACCTAAACCAAGGAGGAAAAAGTGAATTGTAGTCATTACCAGTTAAGTGCAACTTCCCTTTATTGATTTGATTAGGGCTATAAGTCATCAATCTCATGAAGAAGTTCTGTGGATAAAGATACAAGGTAGCCCAGCCCACCTTGGCCTACAGCCTGCAAACAACATCATGATCAACTTCATCAGTTTAGCAATCTTAGAAAACACCGATCATCCAGCACAGTCCAGACTACTGGATTTCATGTAGATTGTACTCTGATTTTCCAATTTAGATGATGCTAGTAAGTGCCTTCTCTGCATTGTCAAAAACTGGTTTTGGCATATTGTACTGCAGAATCTTACAACATATTCCAGATTTCTTCAGTACAGTATTCCCTAACTGGCATCCAGATGGCTATTTTGACACAAGAACAATACGAGCAAAGGATTTTTCCTTTTTGTATTCTCTCTCCAATTTCACTCTGTACTGTAGGATTATGAGAGGTGAAGAAAATTGAGGGGGCATATTTCAGGTATAGTTTCTCTCAACTTACTGCAATTTTACTCAATTTCTTTGTTGAAAAAACAAACATAAAAGTGTTTCTGAAGAAACAAAGAAAAATCAAATAGATAGCTTTTTTTTTTTAATAAGCTTTATCTTTATTATTTCCAAGCTGGATGGAACTTCGAGCAAACTGGTCTTGAGGGAGGTGTCCCTGCCTATAGCAGGGGGGTGGAACTAGATGATCTTAAAGCTTCCTTCCAACTCAAACCATTCTATTCTCTATTTCCATTATATCACAAGGTAAGTTTATTTGTACGTTTTCAGAAGTAATTTAAAGTGAATTCATAGTTGTTAGTGAATTAAGTACTCCATATATAATCTGGTTTTGCATTTCAATTTTGGAAAACATTTTGTAGCTGAGCTGTAGACTGTACCAAACACTTGTGGTCTGCTGTAGCCAATTTAAAGGCAGAATTTGGTGATTCAACAGCTCCTGCCTCCTGCGTGCCCTGTGTTTTTACCGTAAGTGCTCAGCAGGCTCTCAAACTGCGCCAGCAAGCCAATGGTGTAGAGCTGTCTTAGAAATCCATCATCATGAAGGCAGTTCCTCAGCTTGATAATGAAACCACATATGAGAGCCGTCAGCTGTAGGAGAGAAAACACAAAACCAAAGGCTCTTCAGCTCCAAATGGTAACAACAGAGCACGTAAGACAAAGGTGCTATAAAATCCGTTAGACCTCTTTGCCCTTGAGTCACTTTTTTTTTTTTCTTTTTTTTACTTGCAGCTAAAGAGAGACAGTCAACCAACAAAACTCAAAGCACTCCTAACATCTGATTTAGAGCATGCTGCCTTCATCTTGCATGTTCTCCCAGCATGGACTGTCATTGATCTTGCATCTATCTGCTTTTCTTGACGTGACCACTGCTGTTAGAACCTACAACTTACAAACTGTGTTAGTTACAGATGGAAAAGCAAAACTGGTTCTAAGCTATGAATTTTGATAGCATGATTTTTTTAAATCATATTTTTTAAAAGCTTAAAAATGCAGTGTCTGTTCGCAAAGATTCAAAATCCTTCAGAGTTATGAGATATTCTGGACAAGACCCCAGTGCTGACCTCATCCTAAAATCAGTATTAAGATCTCACACTAGTACCAGCTTTTCTTTCTGTCAACAAAGGAACTTCCAGGATGATTACCAGATATTAGGTATGCAGGTATACGACTTACAGAGCTAAACAGAAGAGATGAGTCTAAAGATCTATTTATGATGAACTGATGATTGGTAAACATATTCAAAGCATCAAATCAAAAAATCAAAAAAACTGCATTCTGAAGTTTTGTATGTGAACAAAAATCTCTGAATGTATCTCTTTGAAATACTATGTTATGAGACAACAACAACCCTAACAAATAATACCCAAGAGACAAGCTTCCTTGAAATAAAGAAAGAGATACTAATTGCACAGGGAAGTATGCACCCTACGAAGGTGCAGTGGGCAGAAGGGATGCGGAAGGTTTTTAGTGCAGACACCTGCTAGTCAATGGCTGACTCAAAAGAGACCTCAGCAGGCCCAGAAACAGAACTTCTAGTGAAACCTCAGCATTTGCTCCTCCTGATGTGGTTGGGCTTCTCTCCCTAAGTGATGTTGGACTTGCTGGTTTTCTTTATGCTAAAAATAACTATTGTCACTATCTCTGGCACAATTTGTTTTGAAATCAGGAATGTATATCCCAGGAAACATTTAATTTTTATCTTGCCGAGTGCATGAAGTGACCAACAAGAACAGCACAGCACAGCCTGCGGGAGGAGATCACACTGTTAAACTTCAGAGGACAGTAGATATGTAAAATTCTGAAAAAAGCCATCTTTCATATTTCACAAAAACCCAGTGCACGTCCCAGTGTAATCAAACCCTGCAAATTTGCTTGCTTACAGTTTGGCAGAAGACAACATCCCTGCGATACTGAAGACTCAGACACAGCCCTATCGTTGGGGCGCTGTCCTGCATTAACAAGAAGACCATGGCTTTCTTGGCCTTGTCACTCATCATGGCCACGCAGTCCGTGAGAGTCGTCAGCAAAGGATAAAGGGCTTCGCTCCACTCGCCTGGTTGAAAGAAGTAATTAACAGCACTTTAAGTAAGTACTTTATCTGTAACAAACAAATTTATGTTAAGGAGCGACTTACTGTAGCAAGTTAAAGTTGTTGATAATCCACATGCAGTGCTCGTTTCGTTTTGGCTGGCCATATACTCCCTGCTTGTTATCAATACAGAGTGGATATCGCATGAGGAAAACATGGGGAATTTGACTGTCTGAGGCTGTTAAGACTTTCCCAGCCATGTAATAGCTCCCCAGTTTGTGCCACAGAACAAGTCATACAGTGGCTGATTTAGAAAGCCTTAACAGAAAGATGAGCACACTCTTGTGTATATAACTTTGTGTACACATTCAAACACACCCTTTCACAGTGCACACAGGGACAGTCAATACAGAGCCCACTGCAGAACTAGATGCATAGGGAACATCTGTGTAGCCATTTCTGTGAATGAGATTTCTCACAAACACCTCTGCCTTTTGCGGAATCAGGTGTATCATTCAATGCCTCACCATCTTCAAAATACTTATCCTCAGTTAGGTAAGATCATGCTCTTTTTTCCATTTGCAGGAGTCCAAAAGCAAAGAGGTGAAGGTACTCTCTTGCATGTTCATGTCTGCTATGTAGCTCTGAAAGCCTACATCAAGCTAGCAAGAAACACTAAGTCTAGCGATGTAGATGAGAGCTAGCCAAACCCTTGGAGGTTTTAGGAGTTTGACTTTGACTGAAACACATGAACTATGTCCCAGAGTGACATCGCTCAAGGTCCTACACAGGAAGTCAAGAAATACAATTAGATTGCCAAAGTTCTGTTTCAGTACCCCAAACATTTTATCATTCTTTCTGCCTAAAGAAATCGCTCTACCTTAACATATCCCATAGGCTCAGTGTCTTTTCTCTCCTTCTTTCATCTTTTTTCTCACCAATTTTTAAAAACCATTTCCAGGACTGTATGAAATATTACTCAGATCCTGTACCAAAAACCATTCTCTCTGCAATGTTAGGAGAAAGCAGAGCATAAAAAATCACTCTCTTTAATGTACAGAATGTTGAAAGAGAAGAAAACTTCTCTTTTTACAGGGAAAGACAATGCTTTTTTGTAGATAAACAGCACCACAACCACAAGACGTGTGACCCCAGACTGGCTGACTGTACAGTCATAGCATCATGCAGCTCAAAGCCCACAGGAACAGGGTCAGTTCAAGCCTTTGAAAGGAAACTGTGTGATTTTGACTCAATTGCAAGACTGAAGAGCTAGCAACAATAAACGTTTCTTTGATAATCAGCCACACAGGGAACTTTGGAAGTCAGTTACAAGAAGCTTAACTGACAAGATTAACAGAAGTATCCTTTTTGCTTTTGTTCCATGTGGTAGATAGATAATCTATAAACCTCACAAAGGGGAAGTTATTTGGCTCTGCTCCATTGCCACAAAGAAGATAAAGGAACATCAGAAGAAAAGCCAAGGAATTACAGCTTTTCTTTTACATCCCATTAAGTATTTTTCTCTCAAAATAAAACTGCTGCCTTAACACGGGTGTGTAAGTAACCAAAAAGTAAAATACAGATGATAGCAACAGAGCACTTCTCTTAATACATTTAAGAGTTTTTCCATAAATGAGTAAGAACGACAGAAAGAACTGAGGATATCTTCAAGCACACCAGTATTTCACATACATATATGAATGCAGTTGTTATCTCAACAGAGACTGCAGTGTGCTTGGCAGAACCTCATTTGAAAGATAAATTTATCTCTGGCAATCACAAACCACACTGGTGGTACACCAGCATGCATGAAGATAAAGCAATCTTTAGATGTTTTCTTCTCACAGCACTCACATACAATGCAACAGCTCATCTAGGGTAATAATCCCATAAAATTATAAAAAATCCTCTGTGCTGTGTGTCTTCCTGGCTTTAGACACTGGCCATGAAAGAAAAGAGCCCCTTGACAATTAGCAAAATCCTAAATATTTTTTACTACCTGCTTCATAGACATATGCTGCTTTTAACTGTTTGATCAATGTCCTTAAAAGTAAACAAGAACAAAAGGGATGACAGGTTCAGATGAGGTCAAAATATTTCACTGACAGAGTTTAAATAAAATTGAAGTGTTCACTGGGACCTTCCCATCCTTCTTCTGTCTACCACTTGTAATTTACCTAACAAAATCTTAATTCTGCAAGAATATCTTCTATCCAATCAATCAATGGCACCTTTACACACCACAGGGCAGTAATTTTTAATGTGAAATCCACTCTGAGCACAGCATTTATGTTCTGCGAGATGACCAGAGCATTTTAAAACTAGTTATAGACTCCAGTGTGCAGATCCAGGGGGAGAATGATTTGGCAAAGGGCCTGAGACAGTGAAGATTCAGTGAGTTGCTACACATTTAAAATCATGACCAAGCCCAAGCTAGCTGTTGATGCATCTTGGACACAAATCCCACTTCCTAACCAGAGGCTTCTCCTTCATGGTAGAAGGTTACTCTGTCTAAAGACACTGAATAAACCTACAGGAAGCTTGTCATTTGCTTTAGATGTTCCGCATTGTACATTAGACACCAATGTCTAATTAAGTGCTTCAACGCACTGCTGCCTCAGCCACTTCTGCTCAAGGTGCAGTTGGGGTACATCTGGGTGCCTAGCTGGAGTAACCTGATTGCTTTTAATTACTCCAATCTTAAAGATAACTAAAACAATATTCATTCATAGCTTGCAAGAACTAAAGAAGATGCTCCAGCAACTCCAACTTCGTGCAAAATGAATTTTATTCATTAAAAGCACTTTCCCAGTGACAGAAGGAAACAAGGTGGAGAGCTGGGAAGGACACTGTTAGATTCTCTGAAGATGCAAATCCTACCTACACAGGGGCTCTACTTTCCATGTATTTCACTAAACCCACAATGTATTTCACTAGACCACAGTGTAACAGGACCAAGAACGGGCCTCCACAGTGTTGAGATTAACCTGCTCTCAAATGGATGAAATTAGAGCCATCCAGGCAGGAGACCTAGGAAAGGTAACACCAAAGTGCAAAAGTACAAGGGGAGAGAAAAGAAGACTAACAGTGTGAGGAAAGTCTTCCAAATTCTGTATTCTGAGACATTAAATTTGCAGTGTCCAGTACTGCTCGCTGTATACACCCAACACAGATTTTCCACCAGCCTTGCTGACTGCTCCGTGTTCTGTTTGAGATCTCATTCAGAAAGGCGAGCTCCGTTGCACATACGAAAGGACATGACTGAAAGGTCACGAAAATCAGACTCCCATAGACTTTAGTGTTATTTGGAAAGTCACTGTCACCTACAGTAGTCAGCGGTCACTTTGGTTTCTCCAAACCAAACAAGTGTTCTCCACCTGAGAAGTTACCAGATACATGCTTGAACTATTATATAGGAAATAACTTCTCAATATGTTTAGGTAAGCCATGTGGTATCGCAGAACATTGCCCTTTGAAAACAGTCGACCTGAACAGCAAAACACTTGTTCAGTTGTTAACTATGAACAAAAAAGTTGAAATTTTCAGAAGAAGCAGAAGCCATGAATGCACATACCTGGGGCAGATTCTTCCGGAGCGGGGCTGCAATCTGCACAGAAATGGAGGGGCAACATGCATGATTAAGGAGCAGCAACACAGTCAAAACATAAGCAACTCAAATGCTCAACCACCAGGGTTCTCAAACTCTTTCACTGAGTGAACAGGAGCTCAGCAGATAGACTCCTTTGCCTGTGGGTACCAATAGCACAAGCTGCCTTCTTCACTCACTGTTTCAGACCAGGGAGACATGAGGACAGGGATCTGGAGCCAGCACCCCCCAGCTCAGGGGCTCTCTGTGGATCACCAGCGAGTGCGCTGCCAATTCCAGTGATTCACAGGGCACATTTGAGAACCACTGGTCCAGTGCAACTACAGAATAAGCTGGCTGAAAGGCTGCTCCTCAGAATAGCAAAAGACACTAGCAGTAAATTCAATGCACTTAACAGAAAATTAAGGCACCCATGCTGCAAGTGTAATCTTAACTTTCCTTTCTACCACTTTGGGCAGCATCTTCTTCTACAAGCGTTCACTTCTAGAGAAATGCTCTCGAGTGTTTCAGTAACATTCTGCTCTCTCACCGGTTCTGGAACTATCTTCAATTGTTGCTTTTTGCTTTCCCCAAAAAAAGAAATTGCCTGCTCTCTGCTCAATGTCATTTATGCATAGCTCAGAATAAGTAACAGAAAAACTGTTAGTTCTATGAACATGTGAGAAAGAAAAGCATTAAAATGTTGTTATTATGAACTTAGAGAGTATTTTGTCTCTCTCAGCTAATCCCATCATCAGTTGTGGAAAGTGACACAGAAAGGGAATTACAGGCCAGGAGTCAATGAAAAATTTCAATTCTTTTCAATAAGAACATATTTTCTGATAGTACTGAACAACCTGTTAGTCTGTCAAAATTATCACTAAGTAAGAATAAAATCTGATGATAATGCGATCAAGCACCTGGCTTGCCCTGGCTTACAGTGAACTTCTCAAATGCAATTTAATTCAAACTGTTCATTAAGACCAGACACCTAAGGAACAAGTTTCCCTTTCCAGCATTAAGTTACATTTATCCAACGCTGGCTGACAGAATTCAGATTTAGCCCTTGAACTGGGAAATGGCAGCAAGTCCCTCATATTTAAAGCTTGCCACAATTACTGATTTATCTGTGTCAGATTCTGTGGATTTGGGAAGAATTGTTTTCCATTTTGGGAGGCACAGTAGTGAGAGGTTCTGTAAATTCTGACACAAACAAAACCTTTCATAGGTAAATGCAGCTAATTCCATCTTCACATTGCATAGGTGTCAGGATTTTCAGCAAATGTAAAAAATTATCTGAAAACACTGGGTAAATGGAAAGAAATGATTGTTCTAAGATACTTCCAGCATAGAAATGCCTTGGGGAAAGATTCTGTTATCACCCACAACATCCACAACAGATTTTTACCTATTTTTCTTTTTAAAGAAAAATTCTAACATATGAAATTTACTGATAAAACTTTCATGTAAATATTACATAAACTAGCCAGCAAATGACGTTTAAAGGCATCAAAATGGTAAAACACTTAGTAAAAAGTTAATAAAAAACATTCTGAATCAAGACTCAACTCTCCCATTATAGTCTCCTTTATAACACACACAAATGTCAGTCTAATTTAAAAAAAAATATGGTTATTTAAGATACTAAGCAAATCAAACATAACAAGAGCTTTACAAATATACTGAAACTTTTGTTTTTTTCAATTCCTTGTTTTCTTTTCCTAAAAGCACTATCTTCCAATTCTACTATAACATTACCAATGGAATGGACATGAAGTCACAGATGCACAAAAGGCCATCAAACGGTAAGACAGAACAGGACAAAAGGAAATGAAAACACAAAATCTCACTTTTTCTTGGCATACCTGATCTATTAAACAGTCAGACCACAATGGCCTGGCCACAAGTAACTAAAATGAAAAGAAGTCAAACAGGTACATATATAAATAAAATAATTTTGAAACTTAATGCAAGGCTACATTAAATTAATATGGATCTCTCTCATTCCCATCTTCATGGCATTATGCAACTGCATTCAATCCAGCACCTATTTTTGATAGGATTACTCCACTGGGAGCTCACCCTGCCAACTCCTACCTTCCAGCTATATGAAGCCTAACTAATTGAGCCCTTCAGCACCACAGCTTTTGACAGTTTGGGTTAAAATCTGCTTTGAACTCCCAGAGATTCACTATTCCAAGCTGAGCTCAGCCTAACGGGACTACTTGCCTCCTCTCGTACACTTTGGCAGCCCAGTTGGGATCATTAGCAAATCACTTCTCTTGTGCTTTATTTAATCTTTTACAGAGGCTCACTGTAATAAGCTTTAATCACTGCAAAGAAGCTGAAGCCAGGAGGAAAGCTACCAGAGATGATTTTGGACATATGCTAACACAAACACCTGTTCTAGTTTAAAATACCCAGCAGGAAAACCAAAATCCATTGCCATTAATGAGAGATTTAGCGATGATTTCAGTGGGGTTAGGATTTTGAAGTTATGGTCTTTGCAGCTGCCAGTACACCACCAACCCTCTCTGCCTGACAAAAGGGCATAACACCAGCACTGAAATAAAGACACATGGAAGAATGTCATGAGGCTTAGAAACGATGCCAGCGCACAGCAAGAGAGAGCAGAAGTGAGAAGCGGTGTCTGGCATACGCACTTGTCTTTCTGAGAGAATGGCATGCACAGGATGGGGTGGATGATGGTGGTGGTGAGGATGTTGGTGGTGAGGAAGATGAGGTCTCATTTACATCTTCTGGATTTATCCAGTAGGCACGGGTGTCCCGATTACCTTTCTTACTAGTACAGCTGATGTCGCACTGGAAAACGTCTTCACAGCTGTCACTTTGCAGGCGCTCCTTCTGGAGAAGTTTGTCCACCCTCTGTATAATGCACTCCAGACTTTTGTCAACATTCAACCAAACTTTCTCCTTAAAAGAAAACATTCCTTTCTCAACTTAAAAAGAAAAAAAGACACTAGGTAACAAATCCTTCCAATTTTCTCCTATGATTTCAGTCCCAATTCTTTTGCAAAGTTTCTGTGTACTCAGAATTACCACGTTAGTGCACACACAGACTCTCTCTCTATGAATAATGTATGCCAGCATGTTAGCAATATATAGCAAAGTCAGTGCATGGTGAACTGTAAAGTTACTTTCGAAGTACATTTGCTGAACAATTTTAAGTGCCTCCTCCTTCACTACTATTCACAATTACAGTTGGCATTGCTGCTTATTCTTTTAGACTCTAATGTTCGACAAGGAAATGCTTTGTCAATTTTGCTGATAAATGTTTACTTTTCTCCCTTAAAGATTCAACTCCTTACAGCTCAGAGCAACTAACATTCAGTGACAGTCCTTCCTCCCTTTAAAAGCGCAGCAGGAGATTATATTATCCATTCTCTTCAAAGCCAGGAAAAAAGGAAAAAAGAACTGGCACTCCCTCACATGCATGGCTAAGCCCAAATGCAAACTAAATGCAGAAAATAATTTTAAATTTAGAAATTTGGTGAAAGAGAGGAATATCTCCATTTAGTCAGATAAAAGCTGATCTCTTGCTTTATTTTTAAAACTGATTATTACAGTAAATGCAAATGCTACTTTCAAAGAAGCTTGGTCTTAATGATCTACTGATTTTGTACTGCAGATAAACTTATTCAACAATACAATTAACTGAAATAATAGGAAAAAAAAAGCTCTTAAAAAGACTGCATAATAAACAATCATGCATCTTTTTTGCTTATATAACTCAGAGCAACAGATAAAATTAGCGTATTATATTTGCATCTAATTAAATAAGCGGGCCTTATTATTAGCTTCTTATTATTTTAAGCCTGACCCTCGGTCAAAGCATGCCAAAACAAAATCAGCAAGGATCAATTTCCAAAACGAGTGGATCTAATTTCTAAATTTGAACAATTAATCATTGTTTTAAGTTACCTTGATCATTTCTGAGATTTAATTTACTTCAGTTTCTACTACTCAATGACGGAATTCACACAGACCAATTCTTGTGTCAACTGGCAGTTTTGTGCAAATACTTTTTAGAAGCTGTTCATCATCAAAACAGAGATGGACAGCAAGTCCCAAATATTTAGATGAGAATACAAAACCAGAGAAAAGTTTGGAATACTGAACGGTATAGCTACCATACGCAAAACATGCATCATTATGGAGAAATGTAAGAGCCCTTTGTAGTATGGTCAGTTTACTTTAAAAGCTGCTTATTCTCCTTTAGAAGTGACTTGAATAAATGCACCAATTGTGATGATTTCTGCTGCTTAAAAGACACAGAATTATTTATTAAAGTCAGTTTGTAGCCCTTGCCAAACCGTAAATGCACACAGAGTGGACAGAATGCCTTTGCTAGTTGACCAGTTCCAAATGGTCAGTAGGCGACTAAGATGCATACAAATATACTCCAAAATATTAATCCTAAGCATCTCATGAGCAGATACAGACGTTACAAATAAAAGAACAGCAAACAAAAATTAAGAAGAAACTCCATCATCATCCCACAGAGCAAACGTACCCATTCCTCTTCATGCCAGTCCACCTGCAGAGAAGATCGGCTGTTTCGTCCTGTCCATCTGGCCACTAGTGTATCTTGATCGTTCCTCAGCATCACTTGTTCCCCTTCTCCAGAGGTTGGAGATGCCTTTGAAGCTATATAATCTGGCCTTGCAGCATTTAGTCCATGTATTGAATTTGCCAACAATTTGCAGTCACAGACTGTGACGAGTTGCCGGGTCTAAAAAGCAATAATACCCCAACATTTTAATCACCTTTCCATTATTCTGTATGCAATCTTTATTATATTCTTTTATAGAAAGAATAAAAAACATGCACTAGTATTCTGTAAAGAAAACAACAACTGCTTTGGAGCCTCTGAGATGTCTTTAAAAGCATTGTATGGCATGGCCTTCAAAAGCTATATAGGATACTAAAACAGAAAGGGTAGGTTCCCAAAGTCTTGCAGTTACTGAAAACATCACTGATAAACGTGCAATTCTTAACACCTCTATCTGCACTTCATCTTCCATTTGAAGAAACCTTCAAACAATGTTCAGACATTTTTATATTCCACCTATCTGCCTCAAATAATAGCAAGCAAGACTTAAGAGAAAAGATGAAGACGTAGCTACTGAACAATACAACCTGTTTCCTTTCTTAGTAATCCTGTATTAAAGGATAAGTTATGTGAATATGGAAAAAAAAAAAAATGACCTGTTTGTCTATTAAATAAGAGAAAGCCCTCACTATGCTGTAGAAAATCCTGTGGATTAATTATACATGCTACAGTGCCATTTAGACTGAATATTATTACTAACACATTTGCATGTGGTCACATTATCTTTTGTGGTCTGCAAAGGTACACACATAACCCCTCAACTGGGACAATTTATGGCTAACTGACTGAGCATATGCCACTGCCATTGCTGCCATTTAGAACCCAGATCTACTTCAGGGTCAGAAGCAGTCTCTAAAACTGTAGTTGGCTTTTGTCCCTGTAAATGACTGTTTACAGTCTGTCTTCTGTTAACAAATGTCAAGAAATAACCAACTCACATCACTAACTCAGACAAAGGCTGTGTCACCATTATCCCTCATTTCACCAGTGGAATACTACAGAAGAGTTTCATTTATGTAAGCTTTGCCCAGTTGCTGCTGCTGCTTGACATATGACTCAGAGGGGCATTAAAAGAAACAACATGGTTATGGAGAAAGAGAGTATAATAGAAAATGAAGAAATGTTCATTTCTGGATTACAGTGAATCAATAGAGGCAACCAGAGGACATTGTTCTCCATTCTCAAGGCAAGGAAGTGTGAAGAACAGGAGAAAAAACAATAAGTGCAGCAAATTCTAAAGCAGATTTGATTTTTTTTTTTTTTTTTTTTTACTGACTATACATCTTATAATACACTACCAGATAAAGTAAACAAAAGAAAGTGAGAAAAAAAACAACAGTGTTTTTCAGTGTGAAGATCTATTACTCTCCTACCTTATCTGCCAGGATGGCAAGTGTTCTTTCAAGGCCATTAGCTGATCTATCCTTGGCAGCTCGTGAGAGCCTTTCTGCATAATAGCTCACTTGAGTTTTCAGGGTGTTGATTTGTGCAATGATTTCCTTTGCTCTAACAATGTCCTGTGGAATGTATATTATTGACTGGGAACCTGTTGAAGTGCTGAAAAAGAAAGATGGATTTTAGGGGCAAAATGGCTCCAGAGGTACACACTTTGCAGTAGCATGCTAGACAATTAATGGCAGACAACAATAATTTACCTAGCAATCAACAGTGAAAGGCCAGTTGGCAATTACACATCAGGAGCATGATCTTAGAGCCTTCTCTGCCTTACTGAAAGCGTTAGGATGCAGATTTACTAATCCCTTATGCCAAGTGTCTGAGGGCAGAGCTTGTATACCAGAGGGACAATTTTGCTGAGGAGAATGGATGGGATAGATCTTGCCATCTGAGACAGAACCAGCATTTGCAGTGACAGCTTGCCCCATTCTCTCCTTACAACACAGACACTTCAATGAGACCTGTTTTGTAAAACAGTGCTGTCACACAGCTATTGTTGTCACCCTACCATTGAGAAAAGGAAATCCACCTTCTTTCCAATACTAATAAAGAGTGTGATATTAAAAAAACCTTTTTCAGCTAGTAAATCCTGCTAGACTATCTTTTCTTCAATTGCCAGGCTGACTAAAGTTACTCCAGCAAAAGCAATTGTAAGAGACATAAAAAGCAAATTATATATCAGGCTAACCCAAAGACTCTGCCTTTGTTAGCACACACCATGTTAAACTAAGGCTGTGGTACAACAGTCTCTGTTGCAGACACAGCTCTAACTGCATAAAGCTATACTGAACTAGCCTTTTCCACCTAGAAATGGAAATAAATTATGCAAGTAAAACACATCTTTATATTAGTACGCTGTTTAGACATCTACAGAAGCTGATTTTGGAGTAAAGATCCATGTTGGACACTTGTCTGTAACTGATGAAAGGATTGTAGCACATCTAAAGGGTTAGTTAATCCTAACTGAGAAAAACTATTCACAAAAACATCTTTTTAGCTTAGGAAATTCATTTAAACCAAAACTTCCCTTTGCCAGGAACTACCCTCTTTTTTTGATCTCCCAGAGAGAAATCAACACAGAGATCAGGCCTTTACTTCACCTCCTGCTGTCTCAAGTGTGATGCCCGTTCATGATGTAGCAACAAATATGAGGTGACATCCATTCAATATTATCTTAATGTTACTCCTTTTTTTCCACACACAAATGGCTTCAGTGTAGTACACTACAGAAGAACCTACTGTAAACCTTGAGCTCAGCAGTGCCTGAAGAGAGAAGTGCTGCTGAGACTGTATGGAGAAGAGCTTCCTTTCCAGGCAAAGCTGCCTCAGGTCACTACATCTGGGAAGTTTGAATTCCTTTGCTATTCCCAGAGCAACACTGTTCATTTCTGCAGTGTGTCTGTGAGGTAACACACGAGAGTTGCATGGGGTATGCTTTAAAATCATTGCAACAAATACCAGTTCTTGCCCCTCGAGAGATATTAAGGCAAGAGAGGACCTTGATCTCATATCTGGCTGAGATCCTTTACAAAAGATGGGAGATTCATTTTCAAAGGATGAAGTGCAGAAGTGAGTCTTGAGTTTTCTTATTAGCGTCCCCCTGGTCAGCCACTCAACTGGGGCAGAGAACAAGCACTCCCCAGTACTGCTATGTTATACAGCAAATTAATCTTAGCTCTTAGGACTTTCACTGTACATGATTCATGCTCTATATTGATGAGTGATCTTAGTGACAATTCCTCTGAGCAATTTATTTCTATGACAGTGTGGTCAACATGCATAAAGACGTATTTGGCAGAAAAGGCCATGCAGCATACTGAGATCTGATTGAAATTGTTACACTTTTAATCACAAAGATTTGCTGGGATGAATGGAGGAAAATTTCATGGCATAAAGTTCACATAAATCCACTTTCCAACCTGCAATTGCTTTTTCAAATGAACAGCTTCTATTGCACAGTATCAGCAAGTAAAAACACAGGCTTGCTCTGCTTAAACTCTCAGTTCAAGGGATTCAGCCTTCAATACGAGTGATTTAGAGCAGAACTTCTGCACTGCTGAACCACCAAGTTTCATTTTCATAGCATGGAGCACCATAACATGTAGACACAGATTACAAAAAATATAAACCATGCCCAATCTACAACTACAAAGGTTCAAGGACCACTGGCAGAAGATTTGGTTAGCGACCCTGCACATGGCGGGGGGGGTTGAAACTAGATGATCATTATGGTCCTTTTCAACCCAGGCCATTCTGTGATTCTGATTTCTCTAAGTGATTTGCACTCGAAATAACAGAGGCAAAGATGCAAAATTTTCACATTCTGCTGTTAGCTTTTTAGTATGTTTAGAGAGATGCAGGAAGCTGCTCATTATAAGCAAACATTGCAGATGAAAGGAAGTTCCTTCATGTATGTTCTACAAAGCAGCTACGATTATTTAGAGCACAATTAGGGATGCCATGATGCATGACATTAAAAAAGCCCTGCACACGTTAAAACACACCACACCTTTGCCAAAGAAAAGAAAGAAAAGAAAAAGAAAACAACCCAAAGAACAGAAGCCCTCTCTACAGAACTCTCAGGAACAGAAAACTCACCAACACTCCTCATAACTGCTAAAAAAAAAACAAAAAACCAAAATAAAATTAGCAGATTGTTAGCAAATACCAGAAGCAGAAAACAAAACAAACTTTTATGGGGAATAACATATTTGTGTCATCTTTTCAACAATGCAGGTACATACAATTAAACTTGTAAGCAAAAAACACAGATTGCCAGATGATCATGTATTATTCTGGGGAAATGTTGTGGATGCAGTACGTGCAATTTTGCCAAAGAAAGGAGAAAGAACTGAACAATATCTGTGTAACAATGAAACGGAGGAGATGGAACTCAATTCTACTATACTGGATTTTATGATAAAATAGAAGAACCATATTACCAGGGAGATTTTAAAAACTTATTTTATACTAACAGCTATGAAGAAATGCATATCCTCAAAGCAGTACTTCAAGTTCATCCTCCAAGGGAGCTGAATTTCTGGTGGCCCACAGGAGTGGTTTTATACTTTAAGCTCATGACAGGAGGTTTCATTTATAGAGCACAATGTCTTTCACAATGCATTTTTGTTAGTCTCAAACATGAGACTATTTTTTTGTAAGCTTTCTATATTCCTAAATAGCATATATTTCTGTATTCCCTTATAGCAAATGCTCCGAGACAGAAATGCCTACTTGAACTGACTGGATGAAATGGAATGCCTGATTCTCCATTCTGCTGCATCAAAAGCCTATTATGATTATTTGGATAGCTATGTTATTTGGACCTCCTTACTTTTAAGATAAATAGGAGTAAATTGCTACACAACTGTTAACTGTCTTTTAAATAAGTGCTGGAGGAGAAAAAGTTCCCCCCAGAGTGACTCTACAGGGTAGCAGGATGACCCACAAGAAGTACAAACTTCTTTGGGCATACACTATGAAGAAGTACACTACTCTACAAACTGGACCCAGAAAGTACAGTTCAGTAATGTTTAGAGGATAGAAATTAAGCTTTCTGGTCAGCTTAGTTACTGGATAAGAAAAAAAAAGACAAAAAATTAAGATATAACAGGAGAGAGGCACACTGAAGTCCTACGCTGACAGAAGGAAGATATTCAAACAACAACTGTAGTTTTGAAAGAACAGGGAAAGTAACAGTTTTTCCAGGTTTATGTTTTCCCTAGTTCCATCCTAGTCTAAATAGGGAATATTTGCAGCAAGCCTACTTTTGCTCTTTTCTTACCAGCACCTGACAGATGTTCACAGGATGTTGCTATTTATTTACTGTCAAAACTGATTCTGCAGTTGGCAGAACAGATCCAAACCCTATAAATCCTTTATTTGAAATGACACTAGTAAAGTCTCCTTTCCCTGCCTACAATGACTCATGTGACTCTCACTGTTCCTTAAATTCTCCTTTATGGCTGCAAAAGTAACGCAGACCCAAATTGCATTATGTTTTCCTTTGTACCCTTGAAGTAGCCCAGGATACCTTTAGCTGTCTTTGCTGCAAGGGCACATTGATAGCTCTCCCTATACCGTATGTGACCTTCCCATTTTCTGCTCTTTTTATAGAGTATACGCGGATGTATTTCCAGAGAGGTCATTGAACAGTCCCTGAAGACAGGATTGAGGAGCTTTAGTATCCAGCCTGCACAGCAGAGTGAGGTCAGATTCAGAAGCCTGAACTGCACATAAATCTTGAGGCAATATATATATATGAGCCTCTAGCAATATAAATAAATAAAACCAAGTTGCCTATCAGGTACAGCTGTTTGGTACTAAAGAGAGTTCAGCAATAGGACCTTAAAACTATGAGAGAGGCAGAAAGTCTGAAATTCATGTGTTCAGTGCATGATGTAGGGCAGCTAAAGAGCTTCTAAAGGCACATTTTCTAGTCTGTAATTTGGTAGAACTCAAACCCCACACTCGAAGTACTTAAATTAAATGAATTGACAAATATTAAAGAAAATTAAAGACTTCACTGAGAGAACTACTCGAAAAGACCTATCACTAAAGAAATAAATAGAGTAACGTACAGGGGAAATTGTTTCTCCTCTTCCCTTTGGAAGGAAATTCAGAATAATCTTTACAGTGTATAGTAGAACCACTGAATAAGGTGCAAGAAAAACAAAGAATGGAATGTTTTTTCAAATCACTGAGCACAGACTGTAAGGAAAGGGCATTACATCAGCTGACACAACAACATTTCTACTTACTGTTTCTTTGCCTCTTCAAATTTATGCAGCTTTTTCCTCAAGCCACCTGATTTGAAGCCTTGGCAATGAGCTGCTGGTGCTCCTATGGTGACTATATCGTAGTTCTGATCTGGGATGGACAAAAAGGACTTACAAATGAAAGCTTGTGATCTTTATGCAAACAGTTGTGGAAATTCCAAAACTATTCTGAAAGTAATTATGTAAAGCTTCATGCCAGTGTTTTGAAGGATGTATCATTTGGCTCTGGAAATTCATCAGGTACTTCTGAGTTGAAAGAACCCTACTTGAATGCAGGTCCTTCATTTCTTAATCTACAAGTCTGTCTGACAGAGGCATTGAGTTGGCCTTTCCACCAAACCTGCCACTAGTGGAATCCTTAGCACTGATACACAGAACAAGTGTATGTCCATGGTGAGTGGGAATTAATGCCGAAAGAAGAAATAACTTAGGTTATTTACGAAGTAAAAAGCTTGATGTGAACAAACTGGTGTGATTTTGCATTACCCTTTATGATGGCTCCTGAGAAAAAAAAATCACAAACTTAACAATAAACAACAAACAGTATCCCTACTATTCTGATACAAATCAAGGGACCCTGTAGAACGAGGATAACTATACCAACACCTCTTTTACAAAGAGATTTGGAATTCAAGTAGAAGGTGCTATAAAAATGCCAAGTAGCATTTATAATTCAAAACAGCAGTTTGTGGGAACTTGGCTATGAAAAATGAAAAAAGAACAAAGTGAAGAAAGAAAGAAAAAAGCAATTACCTGATCCTCCATCATCCTGGACTCTCATTCTTTGTATATGTAAATTTGTAGGAACAAATTCCAACTTTTTGTCAGCCTTCAAGCTACTGGCTTTAAATGAAGGACCTAAGAAAACAGAATAAAGACAGTATAAAAACTCTGCGTGTGCTTAAGCTAAAATATTCAAGGGGTTTCATTCATCATTTGCAACATGCTAAAAGAAAAGCAGAGAAAAAAACATACAATAAGAGGAGTATTTCTGTTATTGTTCATAATTCTACCATACATTCAGGTAAAATAAGAGGATTAACAGAGCAGACAAATATTTCTAGATCATTATCAACCTCATAACAAACGTTAATAAATAATATCTAAAAACAGTAATTTGTTTTTTTACTCACTAACAAGTGTCATTTTATTATAAAAAATAAATCTTGCTGACCTTTGTATTGATGCAGGTCAGTTAGATTTTCCTGATAAGTTAAAATAATTGTTTGGTACTGAGTAACTATTTGTCGCCGAAGGCTTTCCCAACAAGGAGATAATTCTCCCAACTCTTCTAGTTCACAAACCCTAGGGAAAGAAGAAGAAAGAAAAAAAAGAGAGGTTGAGCTCCACTGTCCACTTGACTAAGTTTCACATTATAGCAACGTAGCACCATTCTCAGCTGATGCATTCTGAACTCACTCCTGTCTAGCCTAGTCACCAGACTGGAAAAACACTCCCAAATATGTGCCAAAAGCACAGCTGTTGAGCCCCCCCCCAAGGGACCTGAGGTTCTTTGCAGGCAGAACACAATGCATACCCCAAGAATTGTAGGTTTTAGTCAAAACCAAAGCTTTCCACCTTCTGCAGGAGCCCTCAGACTATTTGATGATTTGCAAATGGTGGGCACTGCTATTGTGTCAGGTGACTTGGGATAATGAAGATCCACTCCACAGAACTTTGGTGGCTCTCTAACTAAATCACTACTGTAACAGATCTTCACTGGGAGATCAGCACCAAACACTACAAGGAATATCTGTGCTGGCCAGGTCATCTACAGGACAGTTTTTAAGGCCAGACATGGAAGGCTTAAGAAGTGAAAGCATCAATAACGTTTTGGAAAGACAAAAAGTCACCCAACAAAGTCTTAATCTGCAGTTTCACTTTAGGTGGAATATAGGATGACTGAATACCCCCAGATCTGAACAGAAAAGCTCCTGGCTAGAAGAATTCAAAAGAACATCACCAAAGGAAACACAGAACAATCATCTGTCAAAAAGATTCAGCAGATTTTTTGCTGCTCAATTCTTTAATATTCTCAATACCCCTAACCCATAGCTCTAACCATTTGTTTTTACATAATTTGAGGGAGCATTTGGCAGAATAATTTCTACTCCACAGTAGGTAGGACCGAATTAACACCGAATTAACTTGTAAACTGTTTCTGCATAAGATGCTACTGTGACCACCTAGTCAAGTTCCCTTCTCAAAGCACACCAGGCATTTGAACCCAGGTCTTCCAAAAGCAAATTCACAGCTTAAAACTCTGTTTCTTTCTTTATACCACGTGGCTAAGACAGCAGGGAATGTGCATGTCGTAAACAATTAGGTAGTCAAAATATCCCCCTAGTAAGATGTTCCCTTTCAAAGAGTTCTGGGCCAGAGCAGTTTTATGTAAGAGACAACAGCTGTGATTAATCCAAAGACATTTTACAAGTTACCACATTGTTAAGACAGAAGCAGCTGTGCCTGTGTATCTGCTCAGCATTCCTCTGGGCTACAGTACAGTGAATGTAGGAAAGTCTGAGATATCCAGCTGAATACAGTTTGTATTCAAATGTGCCATTTATCACACTGTACCAAAACAGGGCACTACTTCAGCAATAACGTAACAATAACAGACCTTAAAGAAAAATAATTGTTCATTTAGAAACATAAAAGCACTGGCAGAAAAAAATTCTGCACGTCACTGTGGTTTACCTCAGCTGAACTGAGAGAAGGAAATCTTTCTTGCAGATTACACAGAAGGGATGTTTACCTTTCAGCCACGCAACTCAGAGCATACACAGTTCATATCAGCCATCACATGGGCTGTTACTAACCTGGAATTGCATGCAGTATTCATCTATTGATCACTGCATGACTTTAGTAAGAGCCTCTGAGCAGTCACTTTCTATGGTTAAGGCTTTTAGGAACTTCACTGCCCACATTCTTACAACAAGCCGCATCTATTTCCCCCATTCATCTAAATTTTCCTTTTATTATCTTCAAGATCTTAAATCACATTTATCCCAGATGGCACCTTATGGGTAAGCTTGGCAAATGTTTACATTATCTTAGCTGTATGTCATAATGAATAGAAGCTTCTGAATGAATTGTGAGGAAAGCTGTAGAGAGATATAAAATAAACAATGAATAACTCATACCTAAACATGTAATGGTGCATCCCAAGGCCCCTCCACCACAAGTGTAGCAAGATAGCTATGCAAGATAGATCATTCTTTTCCTACAAGTCTTAGGCCTAAAGGCCCTAACACAACTGACCTTAGTACCTTAGCAAGTACACATTTCTAAAAAACAAAATAGCATATAAAATCCCCACGGACGTTAGAAAGTCTGTCATCATGCAGAATTTTTTTCCATAGATAACAGCTCTCACTGCCATCTTCTTCTGAAAAGTCATCAGTTTTGCAAAACAAAAAAATGCTTGCCTCCACTGTAGACTATTTCTGCCTGCTCATATGGATTAACATTTGATTTTCTTTCACAGTATCCCAAAGGACAGAAATGTGTTAATATAGGACACTGAGAGCACTAAATAGCTTTATTTTTAGTTAAGTTTTAGTTAAGTTTAGTTTATTTTAAGTTTTAGTTTAGCCTAATTAAGGCTTAATTAGGCCTCTAAGAGGGGCATTCAAACATAGCTAAAGTAAAAACCAAATACTCAAAAAGAAAATTCTTTTACCATCCCTAAGGAAATTCTATTTTTGTTTTTGAAGAACACATAAACCACTCCAGATGACCCTCTGCAAACCACAGCCTACAACTGTAGGGAAGTAAATCTAATAAATGAGCATGCTGCCTTGAAGAGTGATGAATGCTTCAAGAAGAACAGATAACTGCTACATGCAGATGACTGCAGAACGATCCTAATTGTTCATTCTGCCAAGAGTTGTCTTCCATCAGCACATCTGTACACTCATGTTATCTCACACTGAAGCCCAGCCCCCACACGCTGACATAAAATATTGTTTTATTCCTTGGTAACTCAGTAGCAGCCACATCCCTGCTGTGTGACTGCCTATGCAAACCAGCATGCGCTCACCTTGCTGCATCTTCTTCTAGAAGCAGCTTCACGAATTGCCTGGGTATGTGCAATGACAGCACGCTCTCAGCCATTTGCTCCAAGATTCTCAGGTGGTTCCCATCAGTGGTGGGGAAGCGATACATCCGGCAAATGGCACCACCAAACACTGAGGAATTAAAACCATGTTATTTATGCATAGGCGTTAAGACAAAAATGTACAAAATCTTTTTTTTTTTTTTTTTTTTTTTAAGTGAGTGGATTTGATTCACTAACATGCTGTACCACAGTGATACACAGATCTGGTTTAACTAGGCATCGGCCTAGCTTTTCCAAGGATGCACGTTCTGCAGTGACCCCTCTACTAGCATTCACATGAGAAGCTTCCAAAATGATTTAAAACACCATTAAGGAAATACAACACAGATTCAACTTTTGAAATCGTTTTATTACATACTGTGCATTTTCTTCTCATGCAATCATTTGCTGGAAAATCCATCTTCAAGAAAAAAAAAAAATTCTAAACAACAGTTTTTCTCTATTCCCCTCTTCTCCTCTGTCAAAAAAACTAAACCAACCCTGCTTATGAATAGTGAATTACATGGAAAACTTTATGGCACAGTCAGTCTAATGAGGAAAGTTTGCTACTGCTGATTCTACTATACAAAATGATAGTGCAGATGATAAAATAATTTGTTCTTGCACAATCCCTAAATGGCTGCTCAGTCAGTACCCTGTTCCTATTCCAGCAAAACATCAGCTTAAATGCCCTAGGGCTAAAAGTAGAGAGCAAGAAGCTTAGCTGTTACAGACACTGAAATCATACTTGTTACAGCCCACTGCTTACCAGATTTCAGTAGTGCATCCTTCCGTAATGAAGCATATTTGGATCTGATTCCTAAAGATTCTGTTAAACTTTCATCAACTGGTAATACAGTCTAAACAAAAACAAAACACAAAAAGAAATAAAGAAAAACTCAGTGCTAGGGTAACATGCAGTGATGAACCTTCTAGACAGACATAAAGGGAACATTCAACATAAAGTATATTTAAAATCTATGTTTAAAAAATATTACACACACATTTTCTGTGGACAAAATCTATCACTGGTTGAAATAATAAATCCACTTAAACACTCCAGTTCAAGCATCCTTATTTAATTCTACTACGCAGTTTGAAACGTCGTAGTAAATTTTACCCAGTCCTTCAATTATTTCATGTTATTGTACCTTATAGTCTTCAAAGCTGCTCCAGCAATATATACTCCAATATATGCCCATTACAGCTTTGACCTGATATAAATTGATCCTAATACACATTGTGACTGTGGTACATGGGTATGGCTGCAGTTATCACCAGTATCTTCTGCACACTAGATTTATAGACTTAAGCATATGTCTAGGTTGAGAAATCCCTATACCTGCACTCAGCCTTTTTGATCAGATCACTCAAAAAGTCAATATTAAAGTAACCTACACAGTTTAATTAAAATCCTTTAAGGTATTTTTTTTTAAATAAAGCTGCCTGTGAAAGTTCCAGAATTGAAACTGCTTATAACTTCACCAATGTGGTAGGTATGCTAACAGTACTACAAACCTATTCTGATGAAAGCCATAAACACTTGAAGTTAAAGGTCAATCACTGTAAACTAAATTTTTTTCCCAAGATTTTAGCCCCAAACATGAGCAACAAGAACTCTGTTAGGCTACTCTTCAGAATACTTTGAAATTGGAAAACACTAATAAATAACGAAATGGACAAGAAAGTTGACAGCAGATCTCAGCACAGTTTATTTCAATGCAGGCAATAAACTTATATGTTTCTGAAGCTGCTATAATGGTTATACTCACCCTTCCATTAATTGTATCAGGTGACCTTGTCACTGGAGGCCTTTGGTCAGTTTTTTCCTCCATTTGCCATCCAATAACTGTAATGTTACCTACACGGTCACTTTCAGCAGACCTGCAACAAATACTCTGCGTTGAAATTTTTTTGGAGGTGGACCTGTTTATCAACAAGGGAACACTTATAAAAGACTATTAATCTTTGAATTTCATAAACATTTTCAATAGGAATCTTTGCAACTTAATTTTACATGATCTTACAATAAGCTATTCAAATAAGAAAATGCTGTCCCCATTGCTCAGGGATATGTATTACAGATCTCCTAACAGAAGGCAATCTAAATCTATGTGTGTGCCTCAATACTTCTGTAAAACCAGAACGAGGAATTAGTCTGCCATAGTGAAAAATATGTATATATATATATAGTGAACATCCTGGAGCACATCAGGCACAGCACTGCTAGCTGGTCAACAAGGTTAAGATCCTCAGTGGAAGAAGGAACACTTTAGTGGGAGATGATTCCAGACATCAGGGAGGTGCATGGAAGCAGGTGCCAAGAACACCCAGGGCCACTAACATCTGAGCAGCTGCACAGCAAGAACTGATACAACTTTGTTCCTGACCTTTCCAGGTCAGCAGCAATCTTACTAGTGGGATGGACATTGAGTCCATATGAACATATGTCTGAGGAGGAAGGGATGGAGAGTGGGAGGGAGTATGAGAATACAGTATAGCAAAAGTTCTAACCTTGCTGGTTCTTGAAAACAAACAAAACAAAACAAAAAAAGAACAGTACTAGATCTACCACTGCTGTCATTTATGCTGTCTCTGCCATTCTTTCTGTCTCATCCATGACACAGAATAATTTTGGCAAAGATTTATATTATTAATTGAAGATAGATTCTGAATGGTATATTAAAATTGTTTATGTTTTAAAATACGCTGCGAAAACCAAGATAAATAATAATAATAAATCCCTGGAAAAGACAACACTGGAGTGGCAAATGAAATAAACACACAAGACTACAATGAAAGACTAAATATCCAACTCCAGTGTGCTTACAGACACTGCTTAGCATTCAGCTAATAGATCTGAAGGATAATGTGACAATTAAAAGACATGCATGCATCACAGACTTATAATAAGAATACACCTGATATCAAAACAGGCATTTATGAAAGCCCATTTTCAACCTAGTCATGAAAGAATAAATCTAACAAAATAACCACATTTATCACACAAACACGAAACTTCTGCCCTCACATTCTTCCTCTTTTTCACTCTTATCTTCATGCTTACGATAAATTAAACTATTTCACTCATTATACCACTGGTATCTGGTATTCTGACTCACTTCCTTCATCTGCTCCCCCTGTTAAATTATGCTAGTTTTTTTTTTACAACACATTGCAGAAAAAGCCCTGAACTTTATTCATCTCTCTTAGCATAAACAACTTTGTTCATGTTCATGTTTTGGTTAGCTGTGTTCGGGTTAAGTAATTCTAGTGCTGATAAAATTTACACTACAAGTGCTGTCTTTTTCAGTCTCTCTTATGATGCTTCTTGATGATTTTTCCTTGTCTTCTGTGACAAGGATTCTTGTTCTGCTTTTAACACACATTACTACAATGCACTTTTACACATCAGGACTCTCAATGTCATTTTGCTGTCCTCATTCTTCTCCAAGTCCCCATCCCACACTGGATTTCATGTATTCCCTTTTGGATGGGTTTTCAGACTCCCACTCTTTTTTTTTTTCACTCCCTCCTGAGACATGCTCTTTCCACAAAAGCTTCCAATATTAATAACATGAGAAAAATAAAGCACAAACATATGCTGAGCTGGTAGGACAAAATGAAAAAAATGAAACTGGCCTTAATAATATTTTTAGATAGATTTTAATAATATTTTATAGAACCAATATCTAACACAATTCATCATATTTGAAAAGGTCTCATTCCACAAGTTTTAACTATCATGCAATACAAAATTTTTTTTTTTTCCTTAATAGTAGCCTACAACTTAAAAAGAAGAAAATAAAAACAAAGTTTTCATCCTGTCTTACAAACAACTTACACTACATCTTAATTACGTGTTAAAAGTGATAATTTCTGAACAGAGCAAAATGTTACAAACCTTAGTGTTAAGTGCAACCTGTGATTCTTCTCTTGTAAAAGTTCTTTTACAGTGAACGTCCCAGAACCCAACAGATACATCTGGAAAGAAGATGATTACCAGAGCTGTTTATTATTTACTTTGTTATTATTTACTTTGCAACAAACAAAGCCTTTGTCCACAGCACCGAAGTCCAAAATAAAATCACTAGGCACAAAAGTCTTTAGAGATTTAACAAGGTCAAATGCAAGGTGTTGCACTTGGATCAGGTTAATCCCCAGACATGTGTACAGACTGGGAGAAGAACCCATTGACAGCAGCTCCTTCTCTCAGGAGAAGGAGTTGGAGCTCCTGGTAGACAGAAAGCTGGTCATGAACCAGCAGTGTGCATTTGCAGTTCGGAAGGTCAACTGTATCCTGGGCTGCATCAAGAGGGATGGCCAGTAGGGAGAGGGAGGGGATTGTTCCCCTCTCCCTGCCCTCGTGAAGCCCCATCTGGAGAACTGAGACCAAACCTGGTGCCTTCAGCACAAGAAAAATGTGAAGTTGTTGGAGAGGGGCCACAAAAGTAATCAGAAGGCTGGAATACCTCTCTATGAAGAGCAGCTGAGGGAGCTGGGCTTGTTCAGCCTGGAGAAGAGAAGGCTCTGGGAGACCTCACTGAAGCCTTCCAAGACTTAGAGGCAGCTTACAAACAGAAGGGAGACTGACTTTTTACATGAGCGATAGGGCAAGGGGAAATGGTTTTAAACTAAAAGAGGGGAGATTTAAATTAGATATTAGGAGGAAATTTTTCAGCCGGTGGGTAGTGAGGCTCTGGCACAGGCTGCCCAGAGAAGCTGTGGGTGCTCCATTCCTAGAAGCACTCAAGGCCAGGTTGGATGAGGCCTTGGGCAGCCTGAGCCCTGCACACAGCAGGCGGCTAGGGCTGGGTAGGCTTTGAGGTTCCTTCCAATCCAAACCATTCTATGATTCCATGAAAGCACGAAGACAAAAATTATAGAATCGACAACGTAAAGGACCTACAAGATCATCTATTCCAACCATCTGCCTATCACCAACAGTTCTCACTAATACATGTCTCTAAACACATTGTCTAAACATTTCTTGAACATTTCCAGGGTCAGTGACTCCACCACCTCCCTGGGCAGCCCATTCCACTGCCTGACCATTCTTTCAGAGAAGTAGTATTTCCTAATGTCCAGTCTGAATCTCCCCTGGCGCAGCTTGAGGCCATTCCCTCTAGTCCTAAATTCCCCCTACTTCTGTCTAATTTCATAATGTGCATATATAACTAGTAAAAAACCTTTGAAATGTAAAAAGTTTAGTACTTTATTAGAAATCATTTTTCCACTTGTGGACAATAAGCTCTTTTCTTTCCCTAAGATTTAAGAGAAAGCATCTCAATACATACAAGTTTAGTCACTGTGATACAGGAACACTGAATGCAATGACTGAATGGAACTCAGATTGACTAGGCCAGCATTTCATAATCCCTCCTTGATCCAAACCTTGCTTTTTGCAAAGAATACACCTCTTCAGGAGGTACTCTTTTTTCCTCAGATCCTCCCAATGAAGTACAACACAGAAGAGGACAGCCCTGCTGCTTCTGAGAAAGCAAGCACATTGAGCCTAAATTAGCATTTTGGGCAACTGCCTGAGCATAAATGGCTTGAACTGCCCACTGACCCAAGCAGTTACAAGGGAGAGCTGGAACTTGGATTTATTTTTTTTTTTTTTTAATAAGGCAGCAAATCTTACCTCTGAACAGAATGACTAAGAGATAAGGGCAGGGGAATTATTAAGAGCAATGTAAAAATATTCTTCCCCAGAACCTTTTTTTGCTCTTGTTATCCACGTTGCCATCTTCCAGAAGAAAATGACTACAATTAAGTTAAGGGCAATCTGGCCGCAGACAAGACTTATTCGAGAAAATCACATAGGTTGCTCTGAAAGTAATGCCTCTTTTTTATTTCCATGGAAACTACAATAGATACAAAGAGCACAATAACGCTATTTGATTGAGCGAATTCTCAGCTACAAAACACTCTCATCCAACACAGTCACTACTGTTAGCTATGCACTTTCACCAGCAATGAACAAGAGCCTGCATGCAGTGCACATAAAAACCCACACCATCACTGTCACCATTGACACTGCTGAAATTCACAGACCACTGCCTCACTGTGCTCATATCCACTGTTTGGTCACTGTCAGCACTCAGCAAATGTCAAACATCAATGGGTGCCATTTTTTCCACATGGAGAAATTCAGCAACACACCTTTGCTTCCTACACATTTCAGTGTCAAGCGCCATTCCATCAGACTGCCCCTCTGCTGCCATCTGTTGCACAGCAACAAAATGTAAAGGAATCTTGCTGGGAAAGTTCAACCTGTACTGCCATATCACCAACATTCACCTCTGACATTGTGGGTCAACACAGTAAAATAGGATACATTATTTTTGGAGCAGTCCCAACAGTAACATCCCCCACTCTGTTCAGTCCATCCTGCGGTATTCATTCCTCCTTTCCTATCCATTTTATTTTCTCTAGGATCAATCCTGCTACCTCTTTCTTTCTGCCACAAAGCTCTCTAGTTTTGTCTCATCGCTTCTCATTTGCTTGCACCATACTCACTTGGCAGGCAACAGAATGAAGAATACTTACTGTTCCCTGAGATCTATCTTTAACGTCGTACACAGAGAGTTTGATTTGTGTCATTTGATTGATAAGAGAATCTTGGAAAAAGGCAATGCTGCTTAGGAAGATAGGATTACTTGTTCCCTGTAATAATAAACGAAAAAGGCAGAAAATAACGTGAGGTGGTATTTGTTAGGAGGAAATGCTTCTTGTGTTAGCTTCAATTTAAAATTTAATACCTTACCACTTACCTCAATAATTTCTGTCTGTGCATGCTTTGTCCAGAATGCCTGAGGAGGTGTAGTTACACTCACTGCTACAAAACTATTTGGTTTTCGATCTAGTGATGGTGTTAGCAGCTCGCTGCAAGCTTTAAGTACGTAACAGAGAAACACATTTAGATTCATAGTCTTTTTCATGCTGCTGTAAGACTTTACACTTTTTAAAGCATGTAATAGACCGTAAGCAATAAAGCCACAAAGAGCCTAGTATTCAGTCTACCAAGACATTATAAAGACAGACATCTCTCACCTCTGTGCAAGCAAAGAGTGAACATACAACCAGCTCACTCTCACTTCAAGCTGTAGTTTAAAGTTGTTCTCCTCTAACACCTGCACATCCATCCTTCTGGCACAGCTCATTAGAACAGCCTACATGCAGAGATGTTTCACTGGGAATATCATGAGCATGGCTGCATTCGATCTGAAGGTATGCTCCATTAAACCCATTACCAAATGGTATTTTACCATGGAGAGCCAAAAGGAGTCCTTGAATGTTGATCAAGTAGCATTACTATGCACAGAAGAAGCTTGCAATTGCAAAAGAACAGCAATTTATGTCCTCTAACATGATACTGAGATTTTAATTGCTGGGAAGGGACTACAGTGAGTAGGAAACAACTACCAAAATTTCCATTGAGTGACTCTGCACAACTATGTTGAAATTCAGAGCTAAATTCTATCTACTTGGATACAGCTGGTTCAGCTCTGCTTCAGCTAAATTTGCAAGTTAATTTTGAGTTTAAATGTACACTGAGCAGCTTTGAAGCTCTGTGTAGTTTTTAATTTATCTGAAAACTATTTAGAATACCTTATTCAGTTCTGAGATATTCTAGTTAAGATTATTATCCATAACGATTACACACATCTGAGATATATATGTATCTTTTAATTTTCATTTCAAACATATTGGTAAGAGCAAGAACTTCCAAACATCCAAACACAATCAGGCCAAGAAAATCATCCTGCAGTTGAAAATGTGGATAGAATTTTAATGAGGAAACTGTTTCTCACTTATTCTTCAAGTGAGGCAAGCCAACACACAAGTTTCTTGCCCTTATTTAAGCACCTCTGAAATTAGGTCACTGATGAATCTCACATTATCACATGACAGCAAAGACCCCAGGAAAGAAGGTGCTGGTAATAGTTGGTAACTTTTAGAAAATACTCCATCTTAAAATGGTATTTCTACCTAATACTCAGTTTGCTTGAAGACATACTGTTGGTATACTGAGACAGAAGACAGTTTCACAGTATTTTCACAAAGATGAAAAAATACTAAACCTACCTAAACTGAACTCTAAAATCGGCTCATCTGGATCCTGAATATTCCCTATAAACCAGAAAAATAAACACAAGATTAATGAAGCATTGCTTTGAACCTGCCCCAGAAGTTACGGTTACAGAGGAAGAAATTAAATTTGATAGAAAATATTAACCCTTTTCATTTCATCAGCCAGGAATATTTAATATATTCATTAGCTAATCTTTGGTTCTTAAAAGTGATTTTAAATACTTGAGGTTATCTAATTCAACAAAGTATGTTCAGACAATGACTAAAATATGCAAAACCACGCAAGATTATATAGAACATGAAAATACAAAATGCCAAATCTCAGTGGAAAACAAAAGGATTATAGTCATTTAGTGTCTGAGCCACTATTAGCTCCAAATTATTAAATCAGGTATATCTCCTCTGTGATCAGTGAACAAGGAGAAGCTGGAAAATACCTGCCTCTCTCACTAATCAAATGAAGCCTCCAGGGATTACAGTGCTAATTTACTCAACATAAAAAAAAAAAGATGGAGATAAATTTCAGTTTCCTAAACTCTCTTGAAAATTTTTTGCAGTGTCAAACTAGGAGGTTGCCAAGACTCTTCCTTGATAACCTTGACATTCTTTTGGTTTTTTTCCCATCTCTTATCTTCCACTGATAAACATAAGTATACAAAATCCAGGGTTTTTTTTCCTTCCCTATTCAATTTTAGTACTTTGTCTGCTTTAAAAACGGCAATTTTAAGACTATATTTTCAATGCAATTCCTTTTCCCCATTCACTCCAGGCACATCTAAATCTACAACGGAAACAAAAAAAAACAACAGTAATGTTAGTAGAAGGTATATTCTGAAAGGGCAATAAACAATAGCTGACATGAAAGTACTTACCTGCTAAAGAAAGGCCTAGCATGTCTGAGGTGACATCAATGGTGGAGGCCCGTTGCACGGTGCGGGATTTTGCACCATGGCGGGGGCTGTGTTCTCTTGCTGTCATTTTGTCATGAAGAAGCCTTTTCTTGCTGCTTGCCTTTACTGATGTTTGTTTTATGGAGTAGGAGAGTGCAGCAGGTTGTCTCCAACTGCTATTCCTCTAACATTACCACGCTAAGTAATAAAGAGAGCAAAAATATACACTAGGATTTTAGGCTACCATCAGTTTTTAACACCAGCAAACTTACAGCCATAAGATTGCCTCAAGCCATCCAAAAAAAGAGCTCAGGGCAGACCCAATGCTCTGTAACTCAATGTGTATAAATCATATATCTGGAGCATTTTACTGCAAACTGTTGAAGACTGCACCACACGTAAGAAAGGCTCCTCTGTCAGAGAACGGGGGTTGAGAGACTCGTTAACGGACCAGCTGCTCTTCTCCTTTGTCTAAGTTATTAAATCATCCTTAATGACTTTTCCTGGTTTTCATAATCCCCGGGAAACACAAGTAAATTCATCAGATGGGGCCCCTGCTGTCTGCAGAGGTAGGACAAGAGATTAGGACAAAGGGACAATGCCTCGGCAGAACAAGGAACAAAAGGGCAGGAAGTGTTGTCAGTGTCAGCAAACTGTCTTTTTCTAGGTCCTACAGCCATGAGAGAGGGATACTGAAAACTATAAATAAAACCTTCCAAGGCCAGAGTGAGGCTGACATTCCAGGATGGTGATATAAAGAAAAAGCAAAAGAGGATGACTGCTGATGTAGCACACAGCAGCATCCATGCTTTTCTCCAGTGTTTCAGGAGATTCCATAACCTCTCTGGGGAACTTGGTTGTTCCAGAGTTTGATCAGTCATAGCAAAAAAGTTTTTTATCTTTTTCTTTCACTGTTTAAGTGGTAAAGTGGCTAGAGAATCATTGGTATTTCTTGTTTAGCTTTAGTACTGAACATCCTAAGATCTGGTCAAACATAACAAACATTAGAGCTCCTTACCAGTTTCAAAGTCCTTCCATTCTTCTATTTTATTTTCCTTCTTTCAACAATAGCTCTTCTTTGATTTGTTCTTTATGTAATTTGATATTTAATTGTTTATAAGTTCATTAAATCTAAGCACCTAATGAAATGACAGCTATAAAATGTGCTGGCAGAGATTCAGGCAGGATGCCACAGCCCCTTCCCCCAAATCCTATAAATACTTTATTAGAGAAAAATTACTATGCTCTCATAGTTACAGGTCAGACAGCAGTTAGGTAGAAGAGTTTGGTTTTTTAGCCAGAATCTCTATAGAAGACAACATCCTTAAAACGGCTCAATCTTTGAGAAGTTAGAAGAGTAGACAAACATTTTTTTTCCCGAAATGATTTCTATCTAAATACTATTGAGTGTAATACTTTTCCAAGTCTAAGTCCTCAATTATTCTTTTAAGCCGCATTATTGATTTATCACCTAATGATACATTCCTAACAGCAATAGCTTACATTTACCATACTTACAAGAGGGCTCTTTTCCTCGTGTGTGGATGGATTTTGCATGTCATAACATTAAGTCCACTCCTAAAAAGAACAAAATAATCAGTATGAATAAACAATCTTTTATACAGTGTAAATAACTGTCAACAGAAAATTACCATTAACTAAATATTCCAGTTCTGATGATTAGCATGTATATTAAAGTTTACTGAAAACTAAGAGTAACAATAGTGGCAAATCAAAAGAGCATCATCCTCTATTGAATCTGATACAGTTAGATTCTTACAATCTTATAGTCTTAATAGTGTTACAGTCAGAAAAATAGTGAGAGTGGGAACACAAAGAGGAAAAAAAGCTTATGCTGGCAAAGGACAGACTTCAGGTCAGTATTTGATAAGTGGATGGAATGGATATAAGAAACATAAGTAAAAATGTTTACAGAATAGTCCAAATGTATGTGATATGTTGAGAATGAGACAACACTTGTTACTATACTTGCTTTGCTACTGCTAACCTTCCAAATTTCCACCATCACGAGGACAGATCATGCAAAGTAGTCAAAAGCATAGAAATTCAAAAGACCAGCAGGGTGTAGGGCTGCTTTTCCATTGGGTGAAGTTACAGTGTGAGGTAGGCTTCTACGAACAGCTAGCAATAAGCGTACGGGAAAAGCAGATTACAAATATATACTGCAGGCTAACTGATGATTGGCATTTGCTACTGGAATAATCTAATTCAAGTACATTTACATTAATAGGACAAGTCTTTCAAGACCTTACATGTATGGCATACCACAAGAGAGACAAGGTATTCTAGTTTGAGATTTAGATTTCATTGCCAGCCATATCAATAACCCAAGATTGCTTAAGAGCACTTGTGGAAAAGGTTTTATCTCACCTAACTTAATCTGCGTAGGAGGCAGATATTTGATCTCACCTCATTGCCCAGGTTCTACGTGTAGTCAATGATGACACATACACACTTCCAGAGAATGATTCACCATTTTCCTGGGTAGGTGGAATGAATCACCCCACAAAGATAGCTCTCACTCTCATTTTAAAAAGAATTTGGATTACTTGTTTAGGTCTGATGCTGCACCTGGGCAAAATGAATCCCCTCCACTGTTGAGCTAACCCAGGCATAGATGATTTCCAGTCACTGTATGGACTGACAGATCCAAATAATAGGTGCTCTTGAATTACAGTCATCTCAATTCTTACAACTTCATGATCATGTTCTTAATATAAATCAATGCAGAAAAGATTCCTTCCAAATTGAAGGTATCACAAACACAGATGACAGTTTCCTGAGATGGTATCTATGATAGATACTACTCTTTGGAGTCTGTAAGATTCCATCAAAGGAATCATTCAGTCATCACGTCAAGACAAATCCCATCTTAAACATAGAAAATACCTTTGACTTTGCCCTTACTCGTGCTGCAAATGGGGGATGCTGACAGAATGTGTTGTTTTGCTTTGCATTCACTGCAAGCACAGTTTTCAACTTCAGCTTCAATGAAAGTGTGAAAAGCTGTTGTTGACCAGTACCAGAAACTGTTATTTCCATTGTGCAGAAAAGGCTTTTAACCAAGCTTCCCTACTGTCATGTGAATATTTACTTGGCCTCTAACTTTTGCACAAATGTACATGACCAGAAGAAAAGATCTTCACCCAGGATACTTCTGACATGCTACTTTCAGTCCTGGTTATCGGTGGTGGGATGCGAATGTCAGTCTGCTCAGCTGCAAGGCCCCACATCCTGTGGGCTGGATACTTTCAAACATTTGGTCTTACTGACTGCTTGAGAGGTGTCAAACATAAGTGATATTCATTTCTGGGAAGCAAAATCATTTCCTTCATGATTGATTTGCACAAGTACAAGCTAATAGTCTCATCGCTAAAATTATTCCGGCAAGGGGCTTCATCTGCTCCTTTTTTGAAAAAAATCTCTTACCACATCTTTGGAACCAAACACGTCAGCTGAGGTGAAGCCTTCTTTCACCCTAACAATTTTTTTTTTGACATTCATTCATCACACATTTGTAAAAAATGGGATTTTCCCAAATTACACACTAAGAAGCAGGAGAAAAAAGCTACTTCCGCTACACTCAAAATCTGCTTTGAGACTATGCTCTTCTATAGTCATACTGCTCTTGGTTTATAGCATTTGATGGGGTACAGAGGTGAGCCAAAACAGAAAATGAAAGAGGAGTTGAACTCTAAATGTTATTGATACATCTAGATAAAGAATATAACAGAGAAAGTTTAAGAGCTCATTTAATGCTTTGAAAAAATGCCTGGAGATCAATCTTGCTGATTATCATCATCTCCAAGATGGAGTTAAAAAGTAGCTATGGGACACTTAACAAACTGTTGTGGTTTTTTTTTAAACATTGAAGGGGCACTTCCAGCTAACTGTACTCTTAGATAACAACTTACTAAAAAATTTCTGGTACCCTAGTTGAAAATGTTTTAGCAATACAGTGAGTGATGAAAAAAGTGGAAATTAATATTTTCTGAAACATAAATATTTTGAGTCTTCAACTTCATGAGCCTTCATTGCCAGGTTTAAATTTAACATCTTATTAACTATATCATTGTGGACATGCCAGGCTCTAAGTTATGACTCTGTTTCCTTCCAAGAAACAGTATACTTATCATGCAGGTATTTTTTTTTTCTTCTTTTTTTCATCCAAACTTAGCAGTGAAGCAAGATTGGCCAGGCTGGCTGACGACCAATCTTCCAGTACTTCCAGTATTTCATTTCCAACAGTTGTTTCAAAGGAAGATAGAAGGACCTTTACTGACCCTGCATCAGGGTCTGAGGGTGACGGTCTGGATCAACTCTATCATTCCTGGCTACAGAGGCAGCATAAGAGCAGAACATCAACCCAAGGCCAACAGTCCAGAAAAAGTCTCCTAAGACTGACATGAATTAACAACTACTTTTTACAGTCTCACGAGCACTTTGCTCTTCTGTCTCATTCAACAGCACTGAATATCCTGAATCTGACATATATCACAGCAAAAGGAAAAGTCAGTGCCATGAGCTTGATACGTAAAGTCAGATTCTTCCTTCCTGCCAAACTCATGTGAGCAATACACAGGATATATGGATATATCTACGTTGGTAAGAATGTGAATGAAACAGCTGGTGCCAAAAGCTGATATCCACACAGCACACAATTTCAATGTGTTACTTAGCACCACAGTCCAGTGCTAATTTGGCTCCATGGACTGAATACACACCAGTGATTGGAGCATGTGCAGTGAGCTCCCTCCAACAGTTTTAGGCAAAAGAAGCACTATTCGTGTGCTACAAGTTGTGAACAAAAATGTAGCAATACAGACAACTAAGATTCACCTCAGAAATGCACTCCTAATCTGAAATGAACTGCAGCCATAAGATCAATTACATCTCACTTATTTGTCCTAAGAAGCAGCCTCCCATGAGTTTCAAAAACTCCAGTCACTGCTGGTGACCAAATAAAAACTGTTTCAATGCTGATGCAGATCCATGGGTTAACACCAGTTTCACTTCCCCTCACTAGCTCCCTGACCCTGAACATCATGGTAAACATGACTGGGAGGGTAAAAGAAAGCAAGTGGTGCCAGCATCCACAGGACTTTTGTTTCTCACTGAAATTACTTCCCCATCAAGAATATACTCAGCAGGTGCACTAGTCCGTCACCTCCACAAAGAAATCCTCCCTCTCAGCCTGCCCTTTAAATCTAGGTTCCCCTCATCAGATGATTCAATTTTTCCTTCTCCCATTGATCAGAAACTTAATCGTCAAGAATAGACAAAAAGTTTGCCCTGAACCATCTCCTGTGCCCCCTCCTGATGCTCTCCTCAGAACTCTGATCAAGAGCATGACCTCAGCAAGTTACAAGGAATGCATCTGTGCAGTATGTAAATCCCCAAAGGTGACCTTTCAGTGATATTTAGATAAAATGCCATTTTAGCAGCAGGAAGTAGCTTACTTTCTCTTTCCTTTCCACCCTCTCACACTTACTTATGCACAAGCCTAAGTCACACTCTTCATTCTCAGTCCTTCTATGAAGGTTCACTATGAAGTCGTGAGAAGCTTCAGCAAACTTAATCTAAAAACCTAATTTTCTCTCTAAAACATATTTGCATACTTTTAATAGAAAAGTAATTTAGGCCACTCATTTCTTTTTGGAAATTATGACTGTCTACATACACAACTGAAATACAACCAGCATTCTTCTTAACTTACTGAGGTAATGTTTTAATTTCACACATGATCACATTCTTCTATTTCTTCAGCACTCCCTTCTATGAGCACCAAATTATGCACACCCACGTGTGAAAGTGAGCATTAAGTGTAACACAGGTTTGCTAACTAAAAAAGAAAAAGCTCAGCTCATTTTGCAGAAGACTTTTTATCATGGTGAGCACACTGCAATGCCACAGAAACGATGAGCCTTGCTACACAGCATTCTGAAGTCCAGCTCCCTTGACCTACTCCACTGTTTTGCCAACAGAAATTGTAGCAGCTTGCAGATAATCTTTTCTCTAAATTTTTATGCTTTTCACAAGAAATACACAAGATATGTTATGGTAAAGTTTCTTGAGCATGGGAAGACTTCTTTCCACATCACCTGGAACACACTACCCATACAGACCCAAGAGAACATGGAACAACATAGTTGCCACTGAGGAATTTGGACTGCAAACATACTTCTGAATTTAACAGTCCTTTGGACATCCTCCTAAAGCCTCCTGCTTCTAAAGCTGTCTTTTATCACAACCATGATGCTCCGGCTACAGAAACAGCATTGCTCTAACTGGAAGAACAAACAGCATAACTGCTCTGAGCTCCTCTTGCTGCAGGACAGTGGTGGGGGAGAGGGGAAGATCAGCAGAAAAACAAGCAACAAAAAACCCCAGCAGATTATGACCAGAAGTGGAAGTTAACTAGAAGCATCTTAACATGTGCTGAAGACTTGCTCCTGCTGTTGATTAAAGATGTAGAGCTCTCTTCTCTGACATGATGGGTGCCAGTGAAATACCCACCACCATACAGGCAATGAGAAACTATAGGACAGAAAACGCAG